TTGGTGTGTTCCGAGCAACAAAATGTTCATTGGCGAAACTTTTAAACTACAAAAGAGGGCAGCCAGGATTTTACTCAACATCAAAGGTATTTTAGTTCCATCTAGTACTCTTTTTAATGCATTGAAATGGATGCCTATTCCTGATTTTTACAAGTTTAGGAAAGCTGTTCTGTTTTTCTTAAAATAAATAGTATGTTTCTGGTAATGATAGACGGTCTCGCGCAAGAATTAGATGAGTCTCAAAATGGAATACTGATCGGAAACATACATGTTCCTTGTATACTGTTAGCAGATAATACCGGTGTCATATCCGGAAGCAATGTAGCTCCACTCCAACGGCTCTTAGATAGTGTATATGATTACTCGTGTAAATGGAGACTAAAATACAACTCTAGCAAAATGCATCTGTATTATTTCGTAAAGGAGGCGGCAGAAGGACTGACTATGGAAAATGCAATATCTCCCTCGGACAAGACATAATTCGAACTCAGACTTCCAAAATTTACGCCGGCACGTTATTCAACGAGAACGTGAAAAGCGACTTAGCGATGTGCGAAGCCATTAACAAAAATCGGAAGAAATTAAATAGCCGTGTTTAGTATTTTGTGACATTTCCAAGGCATTCGATCGCGTGTGGCATAGGGGACTGGAAGTGAAATTGACTAGTTATGGGATAACAGGTAAGTTACTTGACTGGATAATGAATTATGTCAGTAATAGATCACTACAAGGTTTTAATTGGAAATAGCAAATCAACAAATTCAGGCGTTCATCAAGGCTCTGTTCTTGGCCCTTTACTGTTTATACTCTATATTAATGATATAACAGACAACATGGTAAGTTTATCTAACCTCTTCGCAGATGACACTTCACTTCTACGTTCGGACTACTCCCCTCAAGAAATTGAACAGAACATTAATAATGATCTTGTAAAACATCAATAATGGACAGATAATTGGTTGGTTAAATTTAATCCAACAAAAACAGAGGCGTTGCTTATTTCTAATAAAGACTAGGTTTATTTCATTGATTTAGTTTTTAAGAATACTAATATTGATTTTGCTGACTCTCATAGACTCCTGAGAGTGTTCAGTGATGCTTACTGTAGGCGGACATGTCACATTGAGAGTATTTGGAAACTAGATAAAGACCGGTCACATGTTCCAAATTATTTTTTATTCGGTGACAGAAAAAAAAAAACACGTTTTGCAAACCAAGTTAAAAAATGATACTGGTGCTCTTAGATAGTGGTCTATTTCGAGTAAAACTATCTACTAACGAACGTTGTACATGTGGCTGTCCAGTTTCAGATACCCATCATTTCTTTTTTATCTGTGATAATGATATTGTCCAACGAATAAAGTCGTTCGTCATCCTAATGAACACATACCCTTAAACTTAAATTTACTCGTGCTCGGTGACGCATCTCTTTCGGAACAAGAAAACCAAATCATATTTTTGCATACTCAGCAATATATCCAGGAACCAAACAGATTCTAGCAAGCATATCTTTGAATTTCTCTATCTCGCTCTTCCTCACTCTTCTGAAGTCATATATTCTATATACTATTAATATTTGTGAATGATATCACTGATATCTGTGTGAAATAAATGCGAAATTGTCGTCTGAAATTAATATGATTATTAAAACAGAAAGCTGTGTGTGTACCAGGTACCTGCTCCTTCTCTGTGTAAGCGAACAAGTGAAAACAGATATTACAGAAAGCAACGAGTGACAAGGAGGAAGTATACAAAGCACGCGCAGTGATAAACATTGTGTGTTTAAACATGTGGACAGTGTAATACCTGTTCTGCTTGTACTCGTTCCTAATGCTACTTATGCAATTATATGAAATAAAACATGTTTAAGTCAAATGTTGACATCGTCGTGTTTTTCTCACATCAAAGTTTTTGCTGAAAACCGGCGACAAGTCTACGACAATCATTGTGTTAATATATATATATATATATTATGTATTTAATGAATTATAATAAGTCTTATTTTAATCAAAAGCCTATATCAGTAAAGTCAAGGTTAATACGTAACCATAGTAACATAAACATATTATGTTGACAATCTGACATTTTCTCACATCAAGGAGTTTGCTGATAGCAGTCGGCGACAAGACTACAACAACAATTGTATTCGTAAACATAAAGTTTAACGACAGGCCACATATATTTCAAAATTTAAAAAACATCAGTGAATATTCAGTGCAGTTGGTCTTCCCAGTTTTCCTCATTTCATTCATACTCAGACAAATACAAATACCGATATATGAAAAGAAATAATTTTGCTGGGAAATTCTAACAAATAAGTTTTTCAGTTTCCTATTATATATTCTGGTTGTTGGGTAAACTTTTATTTCTGTTATACAAAGTTTTTTCTTCAGTAATGAAATTAAAGCAGACCAAAATGAAATCTGCTAATTCAACAACATCAAATATTCGAAAAACGATCTAGTAACAATGGCAACATCATCATCATGCATATTATAAACATTCGCTTCACAGACAAATAACAGACAGGAAACATCCAAAAAAATCATACTTGTATATCTTCTATTACACAAGTGTACAGGTGCGGACACGCCAACACACGCACGCACGCACGCACGCACGCACACACACACACACACATACACACAGAAGCAAACCCAAGACACTGTAAATGGTTAGTATTAATTGGGAAGTTTTAACAAAACTCATCGAAGATGAAGAAAGACACATCCTCTGAATTCCTATCAAGATCATTAACAGTATAAACACCAGAATTAAACCTTAATGGATAAAATATGTAATTATTTCCTACTTTTATATCACTATTATATCATAAGGAGTTTTCAAAATTGACTCTGGAGTACGGTGCTTCATAGACAAACAATGATTGAATCCAACTTTTAAACACATATTTCTAAGATGTTGCTACAATTGATATTGTATGAATAAATATACTCTCTTCCACAGTTAAACAATTTCTTTATATTAATTATAGTATTCAGTAGAACTTTCCATTTTCCTGAAGATTGAGAGATTCTCCTAATCCATCCTAGTTTAAGGGAGTCTATAAAAGAACTGACATCTATCATTTTTAACTACCTATTCAAATGACTTGTGTTTTATTAGTGTTAATATGTAGCCAACAAATTTTAGTAAAAGTAGTTAGTTCTGTAATTGATTCTTTGAGTGAGTTTTCCGAGCCGTCAAGTGTAAGACCGGTATCGCCTACATATTGTGCATTAATATTGATTAATATTGTCATCCTAGAGAAAGGTATTAATCTGTAATAGGTTCGAAGTTTCATCACAAACAGAAAAATAGATAAAAATATATAGATCAATGAAAAATAAGATAAAAAGATAAATCAACACACTGAAAAAGAATAAAGCTAAACTGATAAACATGTGTAGATAAATATAAATAAATAATGAGAATAAACAGGTGTAAAAATAAAAATAAACATTTAAATTATCATAAACTCTATGTATATACTTAAGAATAAACAGATAATTAAATAAAATAAAGAGACATAAGTAACCTTAACTTGATTCTCTCTGTGCCAGGAGACAAACAAGGCTTGGACATCCCTTCTCCACTGTTTTCGATCTTCAGCGGCACGGCATGCAGAGTTCCAGGTACTCCAGCCAGCACCATTCCACTCCACCTCCACCATTCTTGTTTTTGGGCGGCCTCTTTCCGTTTTCCCTCTAGTGTCCACCCGAGGGCCACAGCACAGTCATCTCGTTGATCCTTCCTCTGGGCGTGTCCAATCCAGCTCCATCTCCTTCTCACCTCCTGGCTTATCTTCACTGTCCCTGCCATCTCCACAACTGTCTTATTCGAGATGTGCTGCTCCCATCGAATCCTGAAGATCCTTCTCAGACACTTATTTTGAAAGATATCTAGTTTTCCTTCCTCTCCCTTGGTCAATTTCCAAGTCTCACATCCATAGAGCAAAACCGATATTATGAGGCTCTTAAAAAGGGAGACTTTGACCTTTCTGTTGATGTCTTCAGCTTGCCAGATGTTCGATAGCCGTTTGAACTGTCCACTTCCCAAGGCTATTCTCTTTTTAACGTCAGGCTGTTTCTCCTTCGTCCTTTGTCACATTGGCTCCCAGATATGTGAAGCTCTCTACCTCTTCTACTTCATTCGCACCTTCAACTTCTCTTCATTCCTGCTTTAAGCTTTCATCACCTTGCGTTTCTTGTCGTTGAGCTTCAGTCCTACTTTGGCAGCATTTTCTTCAAGTCTTGCTGTCTTCTGTTGTAGATGGTTCATGGCAGATGAAAGAAGGGCAAGATCATCAGCAAAATCAAGGTCTTCTATCGTTGTTGTGAAGTTCCATCTGATTCCAGTTCTCTTCCCATCTGTTGTTCGCCGCATTACCCAATCGATTACAAGGAGGAAAAGGAAACCTTACATGCAGCAACCCTGTTTCATTCCGGTCATCACTGGAAACCACTCAGTTGTTTCACCCTCATCAATTACTGAGCACTGGAAATCCTCATAAAGGGTCTTGACCATCTGGACCAGTTTCATAGGGATTCCATACTGACGCATGATGATCCAAAGGCTGTCTCTGTGTATGGAATCGAAGGCCTTTTCAAAGACGACGGATTAAATGAACAACGTAACATTCCATTCGTTGACTTGTTCCAAGATATTCCTGATAATGAATATCTGGTCCAAAGTTCCTCTGCCTGTCCGAAAGCTGGCTTGTTCCTTCCTGAGTGATGAATCCACTCCTGTCTGTATCCTGTTGATCAGGATCATGCCGAGCATCTTGCTGGCCAGTGGCAGCAACGTAACTCCCCTCCAACTTCCACATTCTTGTAGGTGGCCTTTCTTTGGAATTTTGCAAATTAGTCATTTTTTCCATTGTGTAGGAACTGCTTTTTTAGGCCAAAAATCCTTTTTAGCTCAATACTTGTCAGCTCAAGAGATATCAAGTTCTTCTCCTTCGCCTTCTTCTTGTGGTGGTTCTGCTGGTGCACTTTCTAGAAATGCTCCTTCCATCTTCCGTTCCAAGCTTCTTTGTTCTTCAGCAGCTCTCCACCTTTGCTCTTTGCCGCAGCTACTTGCCTGGTGCTGTGTCCTGTCAGCTGTTTCACTATGCAGTAGAGCTCTTTCTGTCGCCCGTTCTCTGTTGCTGCCTGAGCTCTGTGTGCTTTCTCCGTCAGCCATCTCCTCATGTCTTCCCTCACACTTCTGTTCACCTCTCTGTTCTCCCTGTAGTCCTCCTTCATCCTGTTCTTGACCCTCTCTGAGCGAGTACTGTCAGTCCTGGTCTTAATGTCTTTCCTCTCATCGATCAGTTTCCAGGTGTTGTCGCTTATCCATGGTTTGCTCTTCCCTTTCCTGAACCCAAGCACTTCCTCTGCCGCTTTGGTATAGGCACTCCTCTGTTGTTCCCATATCTCCTCTATATCCTCAATCTCAGTCCTGTTCTCCTCAAGCTTACTCCTCACTGACTCACAGAATTTTCGCTTGGTTTCTTCGTCCTTCAGTCGGTCAACATCGATATTTGGCTTAACCTTTTTCTTATTTCTGTGTGACTGAAGGCGTAGTTTGATGCTGGTCCTCAACAGGTAGTGGATGCTGTTGGCATCAGCACCCCACTGTACCCTGGTGTCCAGTATTGATGATCTCCACTGCCTGCTGATCAAGAGATGGTCGATTTGGTTCTTTACTTGTCCAATTGCTGACATCCATGTTGCCTTATGGATGTCTTTGTGGGGGAATAATGTACCTGTTATAACCAGCCCATTCAGTTGACAGAACTCGCGTAGTCTCTCTCCATTGTCATTCTGTGTTCCAAGCCCGTGCACACCCATTGCCCTCTCATATCCGGTGTTATCACTCCTAACCTTGGCGTTCAGATCCCCCATGATGATGATGGTGTCGTTCTTGCTACATCCATCAACTATTTCCTGGAGCTCCTGATAGAACTGCTCCTTCTCAGGATCTTCTTTCACGTTGTGGGGGGAATAGACTTGTATGCTGATTATTCTTCTAGACCTCGAATAGAATCTGACTGTTATGATTCTCTTGTTGATAGGAGTCCATTCCATGAGCGATGTTACTGCTTTCTGACTAATCAGGACGGCAACACCTTCCTCGTGCAGTTCTTCCTCGCCACTGTAAACCAGTGTCTGTCCTGTTGCCAGCTTCATTCTACCTGCTCCAGTCCATCTGCACTCACTAATTCCAAGTACATCCAGGTGGTACCCCTCCATCTCCCTTGCTATCTGTGCTGTTGCTCTTCCTCTGTACATCGTTCTTACATTCCAATGTCCAATGGTGAACGTTATTTTGGGGCTTGCAAGAGATCTCGTCGGACGGGGAGTTTCCGGTAAGCTTTCACCCATCATCGTCATAGTGCCGATGCCGGCGATCCCCGCTCCTCCAAGGTTTTCCTGTTGATTGATGTTCACAGTTTCTGTAACCAACTGTTTGTTTCCGGGAGGAGGTAGTCAGCCTCCTGTCCAACCTCCAGACTCGGAGGGCCAGGGCTTATCTGTTTGGGATTTCCTTCCCTTAGACTGCGTTGGTCCGCGTGCATAAATGCAAACCCCCCCATCCGCCACCCAGGAGACGCACCTCTACGCCGTGCAGTCCCAGCGCGAGGGACATAAATAAATAGATAATTAAATAAACATAAATAAATAAAAGCAAACAGATACAAAGATAAAATAAATAGACATAAATAAAAAGATAAATAAATGGAATAAACACATCAATAACTAGACCAAGACAAACGATATGCAAGTTGCACACAACAAAATGAAACTATCAGTGTGATCGATTAAAACTCCGATATCAATTTCATTGAAGGATCACATAATAAGTCAGCCATGACTGGTTGTGCATCAGTTGTGTGAATGTGACGTTTATTTGCTGACTGGTATATATAAATGATTTCCCGACACCTTTGAGATAAGTAATCAGGCAAATTTTCTTCCTGAACGATTTTATTAACCGTATCGATAGATGACTACAGAATGAGCTCACTCCTACTTTCACTTTTGCTATATATATCCAACTGATAATTGATGACATTCTATTTTTGGTAACAGATGGTACAATGTTTTAATCAATTATACATTATGCATGTTTCTTTAAAGTAGTTCATCTTTGTTCAGTTTATTCATTGTAAAGTATACCCCGTTATTCTGAACTACATATGTATCACATTTTTATGATTCTGTACGATATTATATCATACACGTTTTATTCTGAAATCACGATATTTTTTTATATTACAATATACAATATACATATGTATATATGATTTTCACAAATATGAACTTAATTAATGGTAATACATAAAATTTCACTTGTGTCTTTTCTACAAAAATTTCTAAAATAAAATAATTATTATTGGATAGATATGTAATTAGATCATTAACTCATTCCTCGGGATGAACACTGACAACCATACATACAACAATCCCTGGACGACATCCGCCATAACAAACCGTGGTCAATTAAATAAAGTAATGTCACGTTCTTAAATGAGAATAAGGTCAACATAACGGAACAAGCAGGCAAACAAACGAGCATCAAACACGTCAAGCTCCATATCGCGCGAAATCTTGGAATACTTCAGCACATTAAGCTAGGAAATACCAAGACATATAGAACGACAGCAACAGTAACAGAGGAGACACCAAGACATATAGAACGACAGCAACAGTAACCGAGGAGATACCAAGACATATAGAACGACAACAACAGTAACCGAGGAGATACCAAGACATATAGAACGACAGCAACAGTAACCAAGGAGTAACATTAACCAGTAACATTAACCGAGGAGATACCGAGACATATAGAACGACAGCAACAGTAACCAAGGATACACCAAGACATATAGAACGACAGCAACATGAACAGAGGAGATACCAAGACATATAGAACGACAACAACAGTAACCGAGGAGATACCAAGACATATAGAACGACAGCAACAGTAACCAAGGATACACCAAGACATATAGAACAAAGCAACATTAACAGAGGAGATACCGAGACATATAGAACGACAGCAACAGTAACCAAGGATACACCAAGACATATAGAACGACAGCAACATGAACAGAGGAGATACCAAGACATATAGAACGACAACAACAGTAACCGAGGAGATACCGAGACATATAGAACGACAGCAACATTAACAGAGGAGATACCAAGACATATCGAACGACAGCAACAGTAACTGAGGAGACTTCAAGACATATAGAACGACAGCAACATTAACAGAGGAGATACCGAGACATATAGAACGACAACAACAGTAACCGAGGAGATACCAAGACATATAGAACGACAACAACAGTAACCGAGGAGATACCAAGACATATAGAACGACAACAACAGTAACCGAGGTGATACCAAGACACAGAACGACAACAACAGTAACCGAGGAGACGCCAAAACATAGAGATGTGGCAACAATAACCAAGGAGACACCAAATATAGAGATTAGGCAACAGACACCATGGAAACACCAAAACATAGAGATGTGGCAGCAGTAATCATGGCGACACTAAATAATATAGAAAAAACGCAACGGTAACCGAGGCGATACCAAAATTTTTTTAATAACAAATTTAATCGAGGGCACCTGTACATTTTTCTCCTGATTTTAACGGCACATCATGATCATAACACTCTTTAATATCCCGAGGGAACCGAACCGATGAACGAACGAACGAAGACAAATGGCACTTGGGATAACGCGATGCCGAAACCAAATCTAATATTTTTCATCGAGGACCTCAATCTACCTACTTTGCATTTCTTTATGTCTGAATTCACTCCATCACACAAAAGAGTAAGTTAAAGGATAATTAGGGCAAGTTAGAGGATAATTAGGGCAAGTTAGAGGAGAATAAGGGTACGTTAAAGGATAATTAGGGCAAGTTAGAGGAGAATTAGGGTAAGTTAGACGAGAATTAGGGTAGGTTAGACTAGAATTAGGGCAAGTTTGAGGAGAATTAGGGTAAGTTAAAGGAGAATTAGGGTAGGTTAGACGAGAATTAGCAAGTTAGACGAGAATTAGGGTAAGTTAAAGGAGAATTAGGCTAAGTTAAAGGATAATTAGAGTAAGTTAAAAAAGAATTAGTGTAAGTTCGAGGATAATTAGTGTAAGTTAAAGGAGAATTTGGGTAAGTTAAAGGAGAATTAGGGTAAGTTAGACGAGAATTAGGGCAAGTTAGAGGAGAATTGGGGTAAGTTAGACTAGAATTAGGGCAAGTTAGAGGAGAATTGGGGTAAGTTAAAGGAGAATTAGGGTAAGTTAGACGAGAATTAGGGCAAGTTTGAGGAGAATTAGGGTAAGTTAAAGGAGAATTAGGGTAAGTTAGACGAGAATTAGGGCCAGTTTGAGGAGAATTAGGGTAAGTTAAAGGAGAATTAGGGTAGGTTAGACTAGAATTAGGGCAAGTTAGACGAGAATTAGGGTAAGTTAAAGGAGAATTAGGGCAAGTTAGACGAGAATTAGGGTAAGTTAAAGGAGAATTAGGGTAAGTTAGACGAGAATTTGGGCAAGTTAGAGGAGAATTAGGGTACGTTAAAGGATAATTAGGGCAAGTTAGAGGAGAATTAGGGTAAGTTAAAGGAGAATTAGGGCAAGTTAGAGGAGAATTAGGGTAAGTTTAAGGATAATTAGGGCAAGTTAGACGAGAATTAGGGTAAATTAAAGGAGAATTAGAAATAAGTTAAAGGAGAATTAGGGCAAGTTAGAGGAGAATTAGGGCAAGTTAGAGGAGAATTAGGGTAAGTTAAAGGATAATTAGGGTAAGTTAAAAAAGAATTAGTGTAAGTTCGAGGATAATTAGTCTAAGTTAAAGGAGAATTAGGGTAAGTTAGACGAGAATTAGGGCAAGTTAGAGGAGAATTGGGGTAAGTTAAAGGATAATTAGGGTAGGTTAGACGAGAATTAGGGCAAGTTAGAGGAGAATTAGGGTAAATTAAAGGAGAATTAGGGTAAGTTAGACGAGAATTAGGGTAGGTTAGACTAGAATTAGGGCAAGTTTGAGGAGAATTAGGGTAAGTTAAAGGAGAATTAGGGTAGGTTAGACGAGAATTAGGGCAAGTTAGACGAGAATTAGGGTAAGTTAAAGGAGAATTAGGCTAAGTTAAAGGATAATTAGAGTAAGTTAAAAAAGAATTAGTGTAAGTTCGAGGATAATTAGTGTAAGTTAAAGGAGAATTTGGGCAAGTTAAAGGAGAATTAGGGTAAGTTAGACGAGAATTAGGGTAAGTTAAAGGATAATTAGGGTAAGTTAAAGGATAATTAGGGTAAGTTAAAGGAGAATTAGGGTAAGTTAGACAAGAATTAGGGCCAGTTTGAGGAGAATTAGGGTAAGTTAAAGGATAATTAGGGCAAGTTTGAGGAGAATTAGGGTAAGTTAAAGGAGAATTAGGGTAAGTTAGACAAGAATTAGGGCAAGTTAGAGGAGAATTAGGGTAAGTTAAAGGAGAATTAGACAAGAATTAGGGCCAGTTTGAGGAGAATTAGGGTAAGTTAAAGGAGAATTAGGGTAAGTTAGACGAGAATTAGGGCCAGTTTGAGGAGAATTAGGGTAAGTTAAAGGAGAATTAGGGTAAGTTAAAGGAGAATTATGGTAAGTTAGACAAGAATTAGGGCCAGTTTGAGGAGAATTAGGGTAAGTTAAAGGAGAATTAGGGTAAGTTAGACGAGAATTAGGGTAAGTTAAAGGATAATTAGGGCAAGTTAGACGAGAATTAGGGTAAGTTAAAGGAGAATTAGGGCAAGTTAGACGAGAATTAGGGTAAGTTAAAGGAGAATTAGGGTAAGTTAAAGGAGAATTAGGGCAAGTTAGAGGAGAATTAGGGTAAGTTAAAGGAGAATTAGGGCAAGTTAGAGGAGAATTAGGGTAAGTTAAAGGATAATTAGGGCAAGTTAGACGAGAATTAGGGTAAGTTAAAGGAGAATTAGGGTAAGTTAGACGAGAATTAGGGCCAGTTTGAGGAGAATTAGGGTAAGTTAAAGGAGAATTAGGGTAAGTTAGACAAGAATTAGGGTAAGTTAAAGGAGAATTTGGGTAAGTTAGACGAGAATTAGGGTAAGTTTGAGGAGAATTAGGGTAAGTTAAAGGAGAATTAGGGTAAGTTAGACTAGAATTAGGGTAAGTTAAAGGAGAATTAGGGCAAGTTAGACGAGAATTAGGGTAAGTTAAAGGAGAATTAGGGTAAGTTAGACGAGAATTTGGGCAAGTTAGAGGAGAATTAGGGTACGTTAAAGGATAATTAGGGCAAGTTAGAGGAGAATTAGGGTAAGTTAAAGGAGAATTAGGGCAAGTTAGAGGAGAATTAGGGCAAGTTAGAGGAGAATTAGGGTAAGTTTAAGGATAATTAGGGCAAGTTAGACGAGAATTAGGGTAAGTTAAAGGAGAATTAGAAATAAGTTAGAGGAGAATTCATTCTGCAGACATAGATCTACTTATGTTTCAGATTAAAGTAAACATGGCTGTATGACTGAAGCAACACAAAAACAAGGACAGAGAAGCTGTTTTAAATTGTTTTAATAATAAAATAATTTGATATGCTGTTACCACGGACTTGGATTATTCCAAGTCTGCACTGTTACAAAAGCAATGTTTACAAAAATATTTCAAACAATTATTATATATGACCCATAACATGTTTCAGATTGTGGAATGTTCCTTACCTAAAATAAACAGACATACAGATTTCCCACTGCAATAGAAACAAGTTTCTTGATTTAGACATTACACTGCTCATATTTTTATACAATTTCCATATCTGCTGATATATAAGACTCCCTTGTATCCTTAAATAGTGAACTCACGATATTTAATTTTCTAAAGTCTTCAAAAAATAAGAAACAGCAAAATTTATGAAGTTATACCTAAACTACATACATTTAGATAACTGAACAGTTTCTACAAGATCAAGTCTCTAATTGAAATACTTTGTTGAAGTGTTTCTTGTTTTGCCATGTACAGGGATGTCTACACTTTAAAGATAAAATGAATTCCTTTTTTTAAAATTCTTATATGAACATTTTGTATGGACTAAGGAGAGAGTAAAAATTACAAATTGTAAGCATTTCAATATGCTTAAACTTTTAATTTTCCTTGTCATCAACTTAAAATTTACAAATTGTAAACATTTCAATATGCTTAAACTTACTTTTAATTTTCCTTGTCATCAACTTAAAATTTACAAATTGTGAACATTTCAATATGCTTAAACTTACTTTTAATTTTCCTTGTCATCAACTTAAATTTACAAATTGTAAACATTTCAATATGCTAAAACTTACTTTTAATTTTCCTTGTCATCAACTTCAATGTAACATCTAGAATAACAAGAAAATTTTATCATATTAGATTTTTAGGGAAAAGTAAAAAAAATCAGTTCCTCTTACTAGTCATGACTTAAAGGAATTTCCCTTAAGCCAAGTAGTGAGGTTTCCATCTGGAAAATGATAGATTAGTTGTTCTAGTTCCAGTGGGCTTTGGTAGTTTTAGTTCTCCTTCCTATTAGACATAATGCCAGGACAAAAATGAGAGCTTTTCTGAGGGTGGCTCCTGATTATATAAGGAAATCATGAGTAGTGAAAATTACATCATAAAAATATGTTGATTTATAAATGATATAAAAAAAATGTCTTCTAAAACTTGTTGTAAATGATACCAAGGTATTTTAGATATTTTTATCCTTAAACCAATTACAATATTCGACGACTGAACAAAATATTCCCCTACAGTGAAGTTTTATACAAATATCTTGGTGGAAAATTCACAGCAAAGAAAACATGACAAAAGAATCAACAATCTTCGAAATTTGAAACTACAGTCCTGTTGGAATCACATTTAGGACAAGCTGGTATTACATATGACCAGTAAAATATTAATATGATTCCAAAATATAAATCACTTCTATTTTCTAAGCTAATTATCAAATTCTTTGGGTGGTACCCTTAAACCAAACCTGACATCCTGGGGTGTGATAGATGTTTCAATGGAATTGCCTTACAGAAATTGTTTACAGGGTTCAACACAAAGTGGATGACAAAATTTTCAGACTGACATATTTTTTTTAGGTACATTAAATGAAAGATCTGACAAAACAATGGTCACAATACTATAATTCTATAACACTTGCAAGATTCTTATGCAAGTCCCTCCTGCCATCCCCTGCCCAAGCCGCAGAATCTCAAAACATAAACAAATTTTTTAAAAATATCAATACCCAGTATTTACTACGTACATACATACAAATATGTACTGCCACCTACAACATTAGTAAATTAAATATAAATAAACAAATTTCAATCCTGCTAAATAACTACAACATCAAACATCTTTCATTTTCAAGAACAGAAATATGGTAACCCCTGACAACATAACAAAACCTAAGTATCCAAATGATGGAAAACCGTAATATTTCAGGAGCATGCCACCAATGGTCGGGGATAGAGATCGTATAAGTGAGTTGACAGCCATGTTTAATCCCAGCATTGCACCTACAAAAGATAATAAAATGGTATCTTATATTTGGTAAAAACTATCAAGATTGTTTTATCGTTCTGTTAAATGCTGCAGATTACTATGTTATAGAAAAGGGATGTATTTTCCACCAAATTCATGACAAATGCATCATTAGTATAGTTTGAAGGTAATTATTTTTTGCCAATTATTCAATGAAAAAAAAGTAAAAAATACATGTAACAGGGGTGATTATTTATTTCAATGCCTCTGACTAACTAGTCTTAAGCTCCACAAGTCTTTACCAGGGTTACATACTCCCCTTTCTGGAAATAACTCGTCCTTTTTTTTGTAATTTTCTTTTTTAATCAGAATTTTCAGCAATATATGGTGTTGATTTCATTCATAACATATATTTACACAGACATCACACAGCTCACATGTATGCTAATTTACATCAGTTGATAAAACAGAAATACACATATATCATCTTATCAAGAGAAACAGGGAAAGAAGAAAAGTGGAAGAGAAAGGCAGAGAAAGAAAAAGGAAAGACAGGAAAGAATGAAAAAAGGAGGGAAAAAATCTTGTTTTTGCACTGTAGCTCATCACTACATATGTATATATTTGGGTATAAAATCAGTTTATAAATAATTTAATAATTTAAGAACTATGTGCTTTCGGCCTTAATCAACAAATGAATAGTCTGACACAATTTACATTTTGGGTTTAAATTGGAAAAGAAAAAACTCATCTTTGATATCAAGGGGTTACAGCGATGCTTGTGAAAGGAACGCTATGTATCTCTGCGAGTTCCTCCATGAGTGAGAATGTGACAGAGGTCATCATTTACTTCAATGATTCCGCTAGGTTTTAAATCCAGGCCCCGCTTGTATAAAATATCTCAATTTCAGATTTCCTCAAGCCCAGATTTTCCTCAGCTAATATCTCCTTGAAAATATCTTGTATGAAAATTCCTCAAGGAATTTCAGGACATCCTAGCCGAGGACTTCCTCCTGTTCCTTGAGAAAATTTTATACAAGCCGTTTTTGAGGAGATATCAGCAGAGGAAAACCTTGACTTTAGGAAATCTGAAGTTGAGATGTTTTATACAAGTGGGGCCAGGTCTTCTAGCTTACAAGTCTGATGCTCAACTGATTGAGCTGAAGAGAAGTTCTCTCTAGGCAAACAGTTTAATGCAGCTAGTATTTTAACAGGATTTCATATAAACCATTGAAAATGAGAACCTTTACATTACTTAGATTTGTAGAAGTGTGGAAGGGAGATAACTCAAGGTACAAATCACAAGTCAGACAAGAACCTTTAGTGCATTGTTGTTCAAATGTTCCCAACATAAGAATATATGCCAGAGCTACTACATTAGATATTTTGACAACAAAATTTTATTTGTAAATCAAAGCAGTCCTTGAGTTAAAAGAAAATATATTTCAACTGGAGGGAAGATAGATCTCATTGCTTTCATGCAAACTCTATAGAGCAAATGATGTTGATATAAGATGAAGTATTAAAAGGTTCCTCACTAGTGGTGCCATCCACTATACAAGGGGAGCTAATTACTACTAAAGGGAGATAACTGTGTCACCTGTGTCAAGTTCAGATACAGTACGAGTCGGCACTGAGCTGATGACAATGTTAGAGGAAGAGATTCCCATCACTAGTGGTGTCATTACTAAACAAGGGGAGATAATTAGTGCAGAAGGGAGATAACTATGTTACCTGTGTCAAGTTCAGATACAGTATGAGTTAGCACTGAGCTGATGACGATGTTAGAGGAAGCGAGTTCATCACTATTGATGTCATCACTATACAAGGGGAGATAATTTGTGCAGAAGGGAGATAACTTTGTTACCTGTGTCAAGTTCAGATACAGTACGAGTCAGCACTGAGCTGATGACGATGTTAGAAGAAGCCAGTCCCATCACTAGAGGTGCCATCACTATACAAAGCTGCTGGACGTTGGTGACAAAGGCCTATAAACACAGATCCAGTCAAGAGATAAGTAAATTCTATAGTAAATTACTTCTACAGTCATATTTCAAATATTCTTACACAGGTGTCTCGTTTAGGTGAAATCCCAAGCATGAAAGTTTATTTTAAGAATGTAAAAACTTATTATCAAGTATACTCATACGATATTTAAATGACATGCAGCTTTTTTTTTATTTCAAAACAGTTTTTGAGGAGAAAAATAAAAAACAAGAAGAACAGACATTATCTCAATAATGACATCATGTTTTGCATGTTACAGAGCAACACTTCATGGGAGCGTAAACTTGTCAAAATTGGTCAGTGCTTAAGACTTCAGAACTAGAGCCAGTTTTAAACAAGAAATTAATTTTGGAACAAAGTTGTGAAGCAGAATCCTTTGTATACATATACCCCAGTTGTAGTTTTTCATCACACAAATTGAAAGTGAATAAATCTCCAGGAAAAAAAACCAAGAAAAACCATTAAATTTCTTCTTAAAACTCCTGTAACCAGTAAAGGTAGATAATATATACAGTAAAACATGGATAAGTTAAGTTGAAGGGACCAAATGAAATATTTGACTTATCCGATGGTTCAACATAGCCATGTTTCTATGACAAAGACGTTTTGCATAGAAGATTCAGCCTATTTTCATTGGTTATTTACTGAATGCATGTCTCATAATGTGACAGAAATGAATAAGTAACATTTTATAATTGTATACACTAATGATATCTTTTATATAGATAAACAGATATAAGTACGAATATAGAAGAAACAGGAGGCCCATGGGCCTTAACGGTCATCTGACATACAATACAAGATTTCAAATTTTGAACTTGAGAAGAAGTCGAAAATGTTTTTTCAAGATGGCAGCCATGTTGGATTTCGGACCAACCCAAAATTTACAAACTTTGGTCAGGATCATGTCATGATCATTTCAGGTAAGTTTCAGCTCAATGAGACATGTAGAACTTGAGAAGAAGTTGAAAAGGTTTACGACGGACGACGTATGAAGGACGACGCCAGACCCTTCGGTCAGATGACCTAAAAATGTAATGTGAAACACTGGAAGACATGCATGAATATGCATCCATTCTTCTTACACATAACTTAGTGAAATCTAAAACAAATATTGCATTCACGTTTATACCTTTTAGATAACAAGTCCAAACAAAAACATTTTTATATAAATACATCCTCATGAACATTCTACATTGATATAACATTGATAGCTAAGAGCTGGGTTACGAAAAGGTGAAGGCCGCGGCAACGTCACTGAAGCATAACGTCACACATACAGTACCATAAGAATGTATAATGTAAAATAGAATAAAATAAAGCTTACACCTTGTATATGTACATGTCTACCCAGTAAATGTACTTCAAATCATAATCTAATGTGTCAATAACTAATACTTTTATCAATCTGCATCTGTGCGTAGTTATCGCTTGTTTTTTCCTCTTGGTTTCCGACAGATATGCCCATAAAAATGTAAACAAACACAGTGTATCTTATTTTAAATTTAGTTTCAAATCACCTGTGTTAAGAGAAAAATCGTGACCGAACTAAACATTTGAATGATACAATGTATTTGATTCAAGTGTGTTTGACACAGTAAGTTTTACAGTGGCAGAATACATACCAATGCCAGGTAGGAGAAGATGAGGGAAAAAGACGACCACTTCAAAATAGAGGTTTCCGAGTATTTCTTTGTCAGTATGGATACACCTAATCCTTGTACAATCTGAAAAAAAGTATGAGAGGGCACTCATCGATACATCAGTAATTTGAGAATTTTTAACAGTTTGACCACAAATTTCTCTTCTTTCAAACATCTGAAAATTGATTTATTGCCAAAATTAATTCAGCAGCATCGTAGTAAAGCAGTGATCCCATTATCAAGCATACCTGACAAAAAACAAATATACACACCACCTATAATTGTACATAACATGTAAAAAACCTTTTCAAGTTTCTGAAAACTGTCACAAAACATTAATCCACAAGAAATAAATATTACTTAAAAAAAAAAAATTGTACAGAGTTTTCTTATTGACAAAATTTTTATTTATTTATTGGAATATTCACGTTGATGTACTTACCATGGTTAATACTCCAATATATGAGAGTATATAGCCATTTTGTTCAGGTGGCAATTTGAAGGTTTCCAAGGCAACAACAGAAAACATGCTCTGGAACACACCAATAGGTATACCTGTTGAGAAAAGAGGAATATTATTTCAGGAATTAAAAAAGAGTTATTGACAGTCTCATATATATAACCCACCTCCCAACTCACTACTGCCAGGAAATGCTGTTTGATTTGAAAAAAAGGTCAAGTATGACCTTTGACCTTTGACCTATTTCCTCTGACTAATGACCACAAAATATTAACAGGTGTAGACCTAGATGCAGAAGTACATGTAGTTCACAGGGATGAAAGGTAGCACCCCGTTAAATACAATATTTACCCAGTGGTTTCTGTGAACTTTAAATCTGGTTTATATGATAAGTTCCCCATTACAGAATTACGATGAAACATTTGTCAGCGTACCTGCAGCAGCTCGAATGATCAACAGAAATAAGGCCCCTGGAGCCATTACTAATTTTACAATCTTGTTGATGTCAAACACAGAGGACTGTTTTTCTGGAAATAAAAATGATAGAAGGTTACGATGAACAACAATTAAAAGATGTAATGTATTATACTACAACCATAACCAATTCCTTAATGATGTTACAAACCATGAGTTGGTGAAGAAGTTAATTTCCATACAGCTTAAACAGAAAGAAACCATGTCTGATACAAAAGAAATTATGTAATTTCAATTCTGTTCATTTAAACATCAAATATTTTGTTAAAATTGAACAATGGTTTTAAAAAACGCTTTAAACTATTTCAGTAAAATATCAATCAAAGTGAATAAATTCTAAGCATGAAGTGGAGTTTTAATTTTTCAGAGTGATTTAATTTGCAGTGACTTCAATTTAAACAATACCTTCTAAGGTGCTTGTTACAGTTGTTTTCTTGGTTTTCTTTGGTATAAAGAAGAATGCGATGAATACCGAGAGTACAGATCCAAAACAGGCTGCAAACGCGGCTGTCTGCTCACTACAAAGAGGAAAACAACGGGTTACAAATCAGATTCTATCAAACTTGTGAATATCTTTTAAATGTATTATCCATAAGGGAGGTATATTCGAGGATTTAAAATTTTGTTGTAAATTTTGTTTTGTCGATTTTCTGAAATTTTATATTTTTATTTTTATTTTTTGCAACTTCTGTAATTTAGACATTGAAAAATATACTTCATAATTGTGACAATAAAATTTAGTAAGAGAAATCTGGGTCTACATTGCCAAAAACCACAATACAGTGCAAAGGTCAAAGTCACAAGTTCAATAGCAAACAATATCTAAATAGAGTTTTATTAGTGTCCTAAATGGACTTTTGATATTTGACATTAATAAAATTATTTCTTCTCGATATTCTTTTTTTTTTTTGGATGTAAATAGTCAAGGTTATTATTTCACCTTGAGTATTTTGTGATGAGTCCACCAATGAATGGCCCCACAACCATCCCTACACCATATGACAATCCCAGCATGCCTAGTGAAGCTGCCCGTTGTTGTTTGTCTCCCATGTCTGTCACAATCATCTGCCCACCTAAAAATCAAATTTTACCTCAATGTTTTGTTCTAGTGGAACCATACAGTTTGGTCATACATCCAACCTTGCCACTAATGTTGAAGTTTGCATAGGTCAAATAAAAAGATGAAAAATGTTGGTACCACATATTTCAACAATTATGGTAAGTATAAGCTTTTTTCTGAAAAGTTACATAAAACAAGAGGACGACTACGGCTAAAATATATAGCTTCCTTGAAAATAAAATGATTAGGATTGGGCAAAATTTCAATTTCAAAAACTTGCATTGAGTTCACATGATTTTTCAATAAATTAGACTCAGCTTTAAAAAATATAAATAACAATTTTCTGTTTTTTTTTTTTTTTTTGAGAATAAGAGAAAGTCTCTAATCTTCCTATAGGTATATCTGACCACAAACTGAGACCAAAACATTTTAAATCCATTATCATCAAAAACATAAAATCCTCGCATATTCATCCTACAATAATCCACCAAATGATTATACAATGTAGGAGAATTGGCTTATTACAGAAAAGTATTTACAGAGATATCATTGGTCTCATTACTAGACATTGGTAACTGCAAAATAAATGTGGTACATAAAATGATCAGTACTATGCACATTCTCTGTATTTTTTGACTTTACAAACCTTGCATTGCATGCATGAATATTGATGGCAGACGGGATATGAACAGAAGTGGAAAGCTGTTTGCCAGTCCAAGGAAGAGATATGTTGTTGATGCTGAGGCGAAAGCCAACATCATGGCTGCTCTCCCTCCAAACAAGTCACCAAATCTTCCAAACAATGGACCACCCGCAAGCTGAACAACAGCAAAAGTGGTTTGGAGGTATCCAAACACAACCATATCTACTCCCAGCTTCTTGGTCAAATACTACAATGATTCAAAATTCAAAACGTGTTACAATGATTAGGGCAAAAAAGGGTGATAACACTTACAGAGGTCAATGACTGAAAAAAAAAAAAAAAAAAAAATAGGAAATATGGGCAAAAACTACAAAAAGAAAATATATAAGTTCACTTCATATATATGTAACACTGGTAAAATACTAGCTGCAATATACCACTCGGCTAGAGAGAACTTCTCTTTAGCTCGATTGGTTGAGCGTCAGACTAGTAAGCCAGGGGTCCTGGGTTCGATTCCTAGCGGAGGAACTGAGATGAAAAATGACCTCTGTTACATATATATATGCACATGTATAACTAGACACTGAAACAAACTTCTTACACTATATCAAACAAAAATGGGAAATAACTTCTACTTCAGAATCTAAACATGATATCAAGGTATTAAAGAGCTATCAAACTGACACTATTGAATTAATAGACACCAGGATATACCATCTAAAATGTTCTCAACTTTCCATGAAAATATGATACATTAATAACACTGTGTCCTGAACACTTATAACAAAGTCAACAAGACTGATGAATGAAATCAAGTTGACTTAATGACCCCTTTATAAAGGGGTGCAAAGATCGGTGAAAGTCACTTCAGTATCACGATGGTAGTTACTCTAACAGTTTATCTCTTATATAATTTAGAGACAAGCTTCGATGTAGTGGTCCATATGATGGTGTCTTCAGCTTCTGGCTCAAAGTCAAAAGTAATTAATCATTAAGAGTAACACAATCAATACAACACACTGATAAAGTGTATCACCATTGAAATAAGATAAATATATTTAAAATCTGATTAACAAGAGAGACATTTCCTTCTCAAAATAGCTAAAACACTTTTAGGACAGTTATCAGATTATGAATTTCAAATTCTATTATTCTGTATGAACATAAACATTTGATCAATTTTAACAGAAATTAGTTTATATCATAAACCTCTTGGATATGGTTGTGGCTGGAGAGAGATTTTATTTCGCTCAGTCACACTGACATGTGAAACTAGATCTGGATGTCTAGTATTGATGTGTGGATATTTATGTATGTCCATGATAAGGAAAAAAATGTCCTGTTGTGTTGTTACAAACACAAAAGGCTTAGATTGGTTATCTCAATAGATAGGACTGGCAATAACTGATTGGAAGAATGGGACTCTGGTACATATTACTGTATGCACTAGCGCTTTCTTTAAATCGTCTTTTTATCTGTCTCAAAATTGAAATTCGGAGGATGCTTATAATTGAAATTTGAAGTTGTAATTATTAGTACTTTGACTGATTTAGGACTTAATTTGCCCAAGTCCATGGTAATACAGGAGTGCATGAATGCATTGGCTTATAACAGGTACGTATTATAGGTCCCTGCTGATAATCATGGTACAAAAGACAATATATTGTCAAAAAGAGACATGGATATGGATTAATTTTTGTCCTTTTTCTGATATAATATCTAAAATATACTAACTGGTAATGCTCCTGTCTGTATCCAGAAACATGTTGCATACAAGAAAATGTTCACATGCGTCACTAGAATTGTGCTGTTGAAAGACCATCTAAATATTTTGATGTCGGATGATTTTGACATCGTGGGTTTATCTCCTTCGTCCATGAATGAATCGGCAGAATTTGTTTCTTTCATTTCCTTTTTATCTGTATTATGCTTCTGCAGCTTACGACTTATCAAATCGTAGGTCGCCATGTTGACAAACTCTTATCTTCAGCTCTGACAGGAGGCGTTCTAGATTGTCAACTTTCAATTTCAAAACCGCCGCCAGCATTCTTAAAATTAGAGCGGATTATTTCAGATAATTAAATATTAAACGTATCCCATTAAAACCAGTCGGCGAAGATACATTCGATAATTAACGGTCTTTTTCATACACGTGTCAAAAACGAAAGCAAAACAATTTTATTAGCATGGTCTATTTTTACCTTGAATTTTTCTGTCATTACCAGAATATCAACCAAACGTTGTTGTCACGCAGACAACAACTTATTTTTTTGTGTTGTCATTGATTTTTTTAAAATTATCGATGATATTTTATAATTTAATAAAAATCAAAAGCAGGACAAAATATAGTGATATTAAGCATTATTTATTAAATAAATGTATTTATGATTTCACAATATAGTTCTACTTTACGACAGTTATTTATAGCTGTCACGTGATATGGTCTACATTTCGAGCTATACACTGGATGGTAAGTATCCGAGTATGTGCCGAGAGCATAGATGTGTGTTTAAAAAACGACATTGGTAGTACCAGATTACCTGTGGTGAAATGAAATGTATTTTACTTTTACCATTTTCTCTTATGTTCTATTTTTTAGGGGGGGGGTGTTGACGGAGGTAGAATTTATATCTTAAAAGTTAATAATGACACAGAGCTGATATGCCATTGGCTGTTTATTATCTATATTTAAAAAAAATAGCATTCATTATGTGGCAAAATATTAAGATGCCTCGAAAATTTTGAAAACATTGATATATAAAACATAGGTAAAACACACCGTGTGACGCATATATTTGTAGTTTGCATATATCCTCTGGCTCAATTAAAGGGTGGTCCAGTTTTGTCAGTCAGTGATTTATAACAAACTTGGACAGACACGCTGACACTGCTTCAGGCCACACCAGTACTGTACAAAATATACGATAGGTAGATAAGGTAGTCATACTATATTGCAATCAACAGTGAAACAGCGGTATTTATATATAATAATCTCGCGGATTCGTTTTCTAACCACAAGATTATACTTCTTGTCTGTGTACATCCCAATAGTCTATTGACCATGGCATAATAAAAAATAAAATGTCAGACGAAATCCTTCATAATATTATCTGATAGTGTATACATCTACCTTAATTAGCTAATTAATTGTATCAAACCTGTCCTGAAGGGATTTTACAATTACCTTATAACTGGGGATACAAAGTAGGTTTTTACTTTACAGGGCAACCTTCCTAATTGAACACCTTGTCAATATATAAAAAGAGATTAGTGAAAACACTGGGTGCCAGATAACACAAGTTAATTTGATATGGTATGGGAGAACTTGTATCCAGATTAGATTAGTATACATATAGTTTATACAAAACTGAAATTTCATTTTAATGAAAAGTTTCATGTGATTTGATTACAATTAGATAATTATTGTAAAGAAAATTAAGCATTTATTTTTATACCCAAGTTAATTACATTTTGTAATTAGTAAGAAAAGTAAAAGAATGGGCACTCATATATTAACATAAGGATAGTGTCACCTTAAAAGTGAAAAATAAGAAAAAAACACAGCATAAAAACAATTAATAGGTCTATGAAAAATATATACTTCATGTCACACATGATGTTTAAGACATGAAATTAGTAAAATCTATAATTCAGCGAAATCATATATCAATAGAGTGTGGAAACATTTAAAATAAGTTTTTTAAAAAGTTTTACGTGCTGGTATTTAATTACTCTCCTCACTAAGGGGATTTATAATTACTTTAAATTAGGGGTCAAGTTTGGTTTACATTGCTTAATGTCAAATCACCATGCAGTAATTTAAGGATGGCCTTCCAATGTATTGGAGATAAATGCAGGTTTTGAGGTTTTTAAATGTTTTTGAAATGGTTTCATGCTTTTATTCTTAAAGATGACTGCTACAGACCCTTATACAGTGAGATGCTTTCAACACTGTGACAGAACTCAGAATATTCTATGTTTTTCCATTCCCCTGATCTGCCCGCTGTGTGGTAGAAGCACCACAGAAACTGAAAGTCGAATACCACCATATGTTTTGCCATCTCCATTTGTACAAGCACAGAAGCATCCATTTGCTATCATCATTAAACCAACTCTAGGGACATTTCTGCAGTAAGTAAACATACACCAGCTCATTAGGATTTTCAATATTCATCAAGAAAAAAATGTCTGGTTTTAAGGACAACCATATATATATTGCTGAAGGGAAGAGAATCACCAAGCAAGGCTCTAATATTCAGTAAGTCACCCTGACAATTTTTCTTTGCAGTTTCTGAAAAAATTATTTTCAAAAATTCCTTGTCAACACTTAATAATTTTTAGTTGTCTCATACTTTTATTTTATATTAATATATATATGTTGGTTTAAACATTATTTTATTTTCAGATTTTCATTTACAACATCTACATACACAAATTATAAAATTGAAAATGGATCTGGCAACAAGATTATAAATCTTATATTAAGCCATCTCCAATATATATATATATAAATAAAACGATGGTGTTAAATTGATCTTTTGGCATGATTTAAACAACTGCTTTAACATCATTAACTTTCATGGGTGTTTTATTATCATTGATTTCATTGGAACTCTTAATCCACAAAGATATGAGCAATATTTATTCATACTCAAGTGTCCAGGAAATAGGAATTTTACGGAAAGCTACAAAATTGAGTTCCATGAAAATATGTGATTTTGAAATAATCAGTGATATAGTTTCATACGATTCAAAGAAAAGAAGGAAGTTTACATTTGAATTTTGAAATTACAACCTTTGTATATTTGTTTCATATAAATTCAATAGAGTCAGTGTATTCAATTTCTCTTGTTCAGAAATTACACAGATGCATCAAATCTACATATAGGATTGACAGATTCCCAAGGTATGTATGACTCAGCAGTTTATTTATTTGTCAGTGTTGAGAGAGATACTTCTACATGGTTTTCTTCACCAAATTAAGGTTTAAATAAGGTATATGTCACATTAATGAACCATCTGGTCACAATGTACTGGCTCAGCTAGGGGTATGTCACAGTGTCGAACCGTCTGGTCACTTGTTACTGGCTCAGCTAGGGGTATGTCACAGTGTCGAACCATCTTGTCACAATGTACTGGCTCAGCTAGGGGTATGTCAGAGTGGTGAACCATCTGGTCACAATGTACTGGCTCAGCTAGGGGTATGTCAGAGTGGTGAACCATCTGGTCACTTGTTACTGACTTAGTTAGGGGTATGTCAGATGGTGAACCGTCTTGTCACAATGTACTGGCTCAGCTAGGGGTATGTCAGAGTGGTGAACCATCTTGTCACAATGTACTGGATCAGCTAGGAGTATGTCAGAGTGGTAAACCATCTTGTCACAATGTACTGGCTCAGCTAGGGGTATGTCAGAGTGGTGAACCATCTGGTCACAATGTACTGGCTCAGCTAGGAGTATGTCAGAGTGGTAAACCATCTGGTCACTTGTTACTGGCTCAGCTAGGGGTATGTCAGAGTGGTGAACCATCTTGTCACAATGCACTGGCTCAGCTAGGGGTATGTCAGAGTGGTGAACCATCTTGTCACAATGTACTGGCTCAGCTAGGGGTATGTCAGAGTGGTGAACCATCTTGTCACAATGTACTGGCTCAGCTAGGGGTATGTCAGAGTGGTGAACCATCTGGTCACTTGTTACTGGCTCAGCTAGGGGTATGTCAGAGTGGTGAACCATCATGTCACAATGTACTGGCTCAGCTAGGGGTATGTCAGAGTGGTGAACCATCTTGTCACAATGTACTGGCTCAGCTAGGGGTATGTCAGAGTGGTGAACCATCTTGTCACAATGTACTGGCTCAGCTAGGAGTATGTCAGAGTGGTGAACCATCTGGTCACAATGTACTGGCTCAGCTAGGGGTATGTCAGAGTGGTGAACCATCTTGTCACAATGTACTGGCTCAGCTAGGGGTATGTCACAGTGTCGAACCATCTGGTCACTTGTTACTGGCTCAGCTAGGGGTATGTCAGAGTGGTGAACCATCTGGTCACAATGTATTGGCAAAGCTAGGGGTATGTCACAGTGTCGAACCATCTAGTCACTTGTTACTGACTTAATTAGAGGTAAGTCACTCTGTGACCTATCTAATCACATGGATATGTCATGTTGGGTGACATTTTGATTCCACAATGTATAATATGTTGATTCCGCAATGTATAATATGTTGATTCCACATTGTATGACATGTAGATTCCACATTGTATGACATGTAGATTCCACATTGTATGACATGTAGATTCCACATTGTATGACATGTTGATTCCACATTGTATGACATATTGATTCCACATTGTATGACATGTAAATTCCACATTGTATGGCATATTGATTCCACATTGTATGTATGACATTTAGATTCCACATTGTATGACATATTGATTCCACATTGTATGACATGTATGACATGTAGATTCCACATTATATGACATATTGATTCCACATTGTATGACATGTAGATTCCACATTGTATGACATATAGATTCCACATTGTATGACATATTGATTCCACATTGTATGACATGTAGATTCCACATTGTATGACATGTTGATTCCACATTGTATGACATATAGATTCCACATTGTATGACATATTGATTCCACATTGTATGACATGTAGATTCCACATTGTATGACATGTAGATTCCACATTGTATGACATGTAGATTCCGCATTGTATGACATGTAGATTCCACATTGTATGACATGGAGATTCCACATTGTATGACATGTTGATTCCACATTGTATGACATGTAGATTCCACATTGTATGAAATGGAGATTCCACATTGTATGACGTGTTGATTCCACATTGTATGACATGTAGATTCCACATTGTATGACATATTGATTCCATATTGTATGACATGTTGATTCCACATTATGTGACATGTAGATTCCACATTGTATGACATGTAGATTCCACATTGTATGACATGTAGATTCCACATTGTATGACATGTCAATTCCACATTGTATGACATATTGATTCCACATTGTATGACATGTTGATTCCACATTGTATGACATATAGATTCCACATTGTATGACATGTAGATTCCACATTGTATGACACATTGATTCCACATTGTATATGTAGATTCCACATTGTATGACATGTTGATTCCACATTGTATGACATGTAGATTCCATTACACAGGTGTAACATTTGATTACGATGAGGAGGGTGTTAACATTAATGCACCTGGCTGGGACCAATGTGTTTCCATAGAGATGATACAAACGTCAGGTGATTTCTCATCAGAATGGGATCTAACCTTACGAAGACTGAGTAAAAGTGACCTCTGGACGAAGTACAGGTTTGTGGTATTTCTGATTGACACCCTTGATAAAACATAATTATATCACCTTGTCTCCACAGTACCACGATGCCTGGTAATAAGCTCGTCTATTTATATCAAAATTTCAATAGATATGCCAATAAATATTTTGTCATTGTTCTATAACATTCCCACCAACATCTGTTACAATTTTAGTAGAAACATCAATAGTACTACATGTATATCATTGTCTTGTAATAAGACCACCTCTCGTGATAAGACCACCTCCTGCCAAAGTTCATGTATTGCCATAGTGTTCACATGGCAAAATTGAGATGATGTGTGTTTTAAACAGAATTCAGTCAAATTTTAACTCTCGTGGTCTTGTTTCAGACTGTGATATGTTTTATTTGTCTCTCACCACATTTAAAGCACGACTCATGAATGCCTTTTACCGATAGTTCCATATTTTATACATTTAATAGTTCTGTTTCATGTGACTGTAATATCTATTCTTGTGCTATATTTGTTATCCATTCTGTAAGTGGACCTCCAGGTCTGTAGAATTGGAAATTGAAATAAAAAAAAAACAAAAAATGTACATTGATACTGAAATACATGCATTGAACTGAAAAAATATATGTTAATAGCAAAAGTGACCTTCACACTAAAGTCAGAAAATATTACCGAGTACATCACAACTGATTCGATGTATTTATATCTCACCATAAATCGTCTACCATGAGCAGATATTTGGCTATTACAGTTTATAATTACCTTGTGTCTGTGGTCCGTCCATCGTCAGTCCTTCAACATTCCTAATCACTATTTTTCTCTAATTATATAATGATTCCTATAGTAATGTACATTTTGAGACTAATCAGGAGAGTAAAATGACCGACAATCACCCATCTTTTATTTTGATGATGGACAAGTTGTAATTTGTTTCTGTTTTTTTCTTGAGATTACGGACTGGGTAGACTGTTCACAAATTCCATAGGTTGTCCTTCATATGCATTGTCCAATTTTTGACGGATAAAGAAACAACATGGCTGACCAGAGGCCATCTTTGATTTTGACAGTTATAGTTTGTAGATACAAAAAGTACTTGATAAATCATTCACTCTCAAATTTTATATCTCGATGTCTTTCGGTTTGTGTCATGCAAAACAATTGTGCCAACAGGTGGTATTCTTGAATTTGACAAATTAAGTTTTATTGTTGTGATTTTTCCAAAAGTACTGTACAGATCATTCTCAAATTTCATGTGTCTGTGTGACTACAAAACCTATTAGAACCACAAATAGATAAGGGTAAGGACATGGAAAGGCTAAGCTTACATAGAATTAAGATCAGACACCTTTAGGATCTCCTCTTTAAATTGACCTTAATATCAACATACCATAAGAAAGTCACTAAATTGATGTCATTTATTTATGGGGAAAATGAGATTAACATTATGCATATCCACAAACACACACATTTGATTTTGTTCCCAATATTCTTTCAGATACCATGAGGATGAGTACAACTGCTTTGACTTTGTGATACAGTTTTTGTGGAAAGTTCGGCTACACCATGTCAATCCTGCTCTGAGGAGTAAGTCAGCGTTGTGTCAGGAACTTGTCGTTCAACAAACAAGACGTGCAGGACAATATATCTCAATTTATAGACACATTCATTCTCACGGATATCTCTGTCAAATGGTTAAATGAGTCCTAGACTTGTACCAATCTAGCATCTTCAATGTTACAAAAGGCAGCAACACAAATTATTTCAAACCTTGGCCTCCCTTGCACCATATCATCCTCATCATCATCAAGAAGGCTGGATACCTGTAGGAATTCAACCTGTCAGCCTTAACATGTCCAATACAACACAACCAGCCACACGTCAAGGTTTGAGGATGATACATACATGACTTAACTTCACGTTAATCTGGTCAGCTCGTAAATGGTGTAACTAGGATTAGACAGCATTCATTTCCCAGTGTAACCATCACTGCCTCTCCGAACCTCCATATAACCCAAAATTTTAAACATACAGCATATCTCTTTATACAGAGGTCCTAGTAAAGAGGAAGAGTTATCTCCCTTCCCAGATATACTGTACCCATATTGTTGCGAGTAACATGTATTATAGTATTGAAGGGTTGAATCTCCTTCTTCCATGAACATGGAGAAGAATTTTATTAGAAATTGTCAATTTCAGATGAGTCTACCTGTGTTTTTTTCTGTGGTTACCTGTAAAACCTACCTTTGTTGTAAAGTTCATTGTTTCATTTAAAAAAAGTTTTTGATGAAAATGAAAAAGATTTTTAATCTTACTTACTTCTTTGTGGGCACAAATGGAGAGTGTGCCTGTATAAGGATCTGACAGAAATTCTATTGATCATCTTTATATATTGAATATTAAATTTCCATTAAAACATCTATACATCTTGTACAACTAGTTGTGTTTAGATATGACAGGTTTGTTTACAAGTCATATTGATGGTGAATATTAAGATCCACTGGGAACCTCTCTTACAGACAACCTTAAGTAACAACAACAAGTGTGATTCTGTGTGCCTAATTTCTCGGTTAGGTTTGAGGTATTTGTGAAAACCGTAGCCTTTTATATGGAAATACTGATTCAGGTATTTGTAAACAATTATTTACAATGACAAACTCATTCTTAGTTAACAAGCCCAACTAATTTGTTTTATCAACAGATATATAATCACAGATTAAATGCAAAATTTCAGAAAAACTTTAATCAGCTCCTACTGCACTAACTGTATGATATCTGAATTTGATGTTAAATTCATGGGTTAGTCAAATGGTATTGAACTTGCATGACAGACAATTGGTGCTTAAAATGAGAGAGCATGATTGTTTTGTTGATAAAATCTTTTGGCTTATTTAACGTCAGGTGAAGATCTGATGTGCTGGGGCACTTTCTATCCCTGCTAATTTGTAATTCTCAGGAAGCTAAGACACAGACTGACTGTGGTGACATGGTTGTATACACACTGTATATTAACGGTGCTAATTAGCCTGTGAATGGTCTCCTGTGTGTTGTTCAGTGAGGTACCAGCTAGGTTTTATAGAAGGAGAGCCTGCCTCAAAATGACCCCGTCTGTTTACAGGCAATAAATTCAGCAAAGAAAGAAAAAGCTTTAAATGAAACAACACAAGTTTAGTATATTTACATCTCTTTAATATATACAATTCTCAAGCACCTTCAAGTCAAGTAACAATTTAGCACAGGTATTGTGTACTTCTAACATGGCACATTCCAAAACAATTTAAATAATTTGTTATGAAATACATGTACTAAATGATTCTTAAACATGGAAAACAAGAAACTGTTCCCTACTTCAATTTTCCTTTAGTCGTACAATCATACCAAATGAAGTATATTCATTAAAAAATTTGACAAATTTCTGAAAAAAAAAAAAAAAAAAAAATCAATTTTGTGCCATGCTCAATTTCCAACTGCAGCCATACATACACATATATACATTTGTACTGACAATAGTAATTTGTTTCTACTTTTAAAAATCATCCACCTTCGATAACTTTATTTCTCATTTGCACGATAGTTCTTCCAACAACATTATATCATAATCAAGAAAGATATACTTCTTGTCCTAATGTCTGAATGAAATATTCACAATAGCGATATCAACACGTAAATAAATATTCACATATTGATATCGATAAATAAATATTCTGCAAAATTTAAGTAATATACCAGAGACTTACAACTACAATTCCTTCATGTATTTGCTTGTCACAAATTGTCAGCCATTTTTTCTGATGACAGAAATAATCGAAACATTATTCGGTAAATAATCCTTACACCAAAGGGACATAACTCTGGTAGATATAACTGCTAGTGGGATAAACATCTGGAAAATACGTAGGAAAAAATTGTGAAAGGTGGTGTAAAGAATTAATTAATTAGAAATGACAAAAATATAACATTAACAGCAAATAATGACCAACAGAAATACACTTATTTAAAGCATATAAGGATTTTGTAGTTTAGGCTTTGCCTGTCACCCAATGCCTTCTGTATCTACCTCTACAATACTCAATAATGAAATATTATAAAACATGGAACCTAATTATAAAATACATCCTACTACAGACTTACGGAATTAAGTATCATGACACAGTGGAAGGCACAATCTGAAGTTACACACAACCATACCGTAGCACTTTGTAATTCACAACTCAAAACATTTAAATGCACCTTTTTAAAACTTTTTCATTTCATAAAATCTCTTAAAACAATTACAAGTCATAAAATAAAATTTACATATAAAAATTTAAACAATATTCTATACACCTGTAGGTATGCCTTTCAAAATCTTAAAAAAAAACCCAAAAAACATCAGTCTTCGTTCCAGGTACCTCAGTAAATTTCTGCTACAACATGTGTGTAAAGTAATCATTTCTCTGTGTATGCAGCACTATTTTCTAATTTGGAAAACCACAAATTTTCAGTCCCACTAAAATATATGATTTTGCAGTAAAATACTAATGATTTCTATGTGAATCCACTTCAAAAAGATATTTCACACGATACACATAGATTGAAGCATGTCAGCGACATTCACATTCAGGTTCTTGTCAGGTAACGATTAAGGATATGAATGATATTATCATGTGAAATTTATACGATCGGACAGGTGGACGGACAATTACCGTAAATACCTCACATCACTTACCACAGCTATATACAGTCTATATATCAATACTGTAGATTTGTGCTTAACATTACCCAGACTCTTCAATTCCTACACTTTTATCTTTTGACAGCTTATCAAGAACAATTAAAATATGGTAATATTAGTCTTCATTGTTTATTTCTTGATAAAAAAATCTCATCATTTAGAATTTTTTTCTTTTTTTAATTTTAAATGATATTGTTTTATTACATTGAGGGAAAAGTTTTCTACCTATGTTACACTTACCTGTAATGAAATATGACGACATCAAAGGTTCAAATTGGAGTTTTTACAAAATTTTTGGCATTAAGACATGTAGGGAGTATATGCAACACAAACTATAAATACTACGACATGGATTTAAGGTACTATAGATCCACATCAAGTGGTAAATAAACAAAAACATTAAACTAAGGCATACGTTTAGTACAAACCTATTATTCTCAATTGCTGGTAGGCTTATATCTCAAATCATACTTTATTGATCCATGTCTCTTAATAAGCCCACCCTGTAGCATTACAGATAAATGCTATTTCAATATCATTTTTCCCCTTACTTTAAGACAGCGATAATGTGTTTGCTTGCTAGGCTAATCGCATGTCTCTTAATAAGCCCACCTTGTAGCATTACAGATAAATGCTATTTCAATATCATTTTCTCCCTTACTATAAGACAAGGAAAATGTGTTTGCTTGCTAGGTAGCATTGCAGCATTACAGAAATGCTATTTCAATATCATTTTCTCCCTTACTTTAAGACAAGGAAAATGTGTTTGCTTGTTAGGCTAATCGCATGATAAATATGGCAAAAAGTGAATCAATGACAAGCCCAGTAGGAAAATGCGCTCAATATCCCTATTATTGTGAAACATCTACTACCAGGTAACTGATTGGATTTTTCAAAAGCAGCTGTAGATGGTATTCATATTTTCAAAACTGTTTTCAATGGTTTCCATCATTTTGGAACCTCTAACTAAAAAGTGAGATACATATAAAAAAGAAATGGAAAGTGCAAATAAAGATCTCATTAGACTCGTGGATTTAGAGTTTAAACCAAACTCAACAAAAATAAACCACCCTTAAAAATTAATGGTTAACAGTATACTGAGAGAATTGTCAAGTTGTCTGATCCAAATGAATCAGGAATGTTGATCACTTGCAAGTTATGATGCATATCTTTATTTTAAAGATAAATGTAACAATTGAGAGGGAGAAAAAAAAGGGTGGAATCCTGACTTTAAAGAATTGCAAAGTGAACCAGCTGAGTAAAATTCTATGATAAAATGTTAACAGAAAAAAAATGAAGTGTAGTTTTTTTTCTACATGTAGATACATAATATTTTAAAGAGTAAATGAAAACAACCTCCTCAGTTTTTATCACAATTTTACACATTGGCTGCCTCAAAATATTCACAAAGGTTTGTCTATGATATGACAATTATAAAACACACAACGGTAAACTGCTTAATAAAACAAGAACTTCTTAAATACAATATTCATGACATGTTACATGTACATTCAATATCAGAACTTCACATTAAGAAAACATTATTGTGAAAAGATTCATGAAAGTAAACACAGTATGATAATTTCAAGTTTTTGCATAGAATCATGGGTAAAATAATTCTTTAAAAATACTTCTTCATGTAAAATTTGCATAGAATTCAAATAATATACAATCTAGAAATTGTATGTAAACAAACAAGAACCCAATTAATGGGAAACCAGGCAATCAGAAACATTCAAAGTTAGTCAAGTACAAAATCTTAAGTAACAGTGACCTACATTTAAAATATTGCTATAGTACTTGAAACATATAAATGAAGTATGACAAATGCTGGAGATCTCTTCCTAAAATGATGGAAATGAAACCAGTTCAATGGAAATGATAAGTTACATTGATCTAAATATAGCTTACACTTTTCTAAATATAGGTCACACTGATCTAAATATAGGTCAAACTGACTTAAATATGTCACATAAATCTAAATACAGGCCATGCTGACCAAAATGTTGAACTGATCTGCAACTGACCTATTTCTTCAGAATTATAGATGCTGTCTGCTGATTGTTTCACTTCTTGATTTTGAGCAATAAAGTCTTACAAAGATACTGTCTGACCCCAACATACTGAAAGAAAATTATTAATTATAAAATAATGATATAACCATGAGAGGGTTAATGAAGATCCTCTTTATCAGACGAAGTGTAGCAATGACTGAATCAAAGAAAAGTTTTCTAAAAAGTCTTCATAACAATGATACAATAATTACTCTCCACCTATAAACATTACTTCATTAAATCTGTGCCATATACTTCATTTGTACGCTTTACATAATTAATTTGCTTCAATATAATTTGACAATTTAGAAGTGTTTTGACCAGCATATATAGAAAACCACAAAAGCTTCATGAGTAATTTCAAATTAACAAAACACTGATACGTGAAACAGCAATAAGTTGTCCAATACAAGACTGGCTAAATTTAATTTTTGGTCCTGGGGCTTGAGCAAGTCTACAGCATCTTAATCACAGACACTGACTCTAGTATAGGTAAAGATGTAGATAAAGTCTATATATCAAAGTCTGTGGTGTTATTTATTTTTATGTAATAAGAATTTAGAGTTTCCAACATTTAAATTGTCTAATGATGATCAACATTTGTGAGACTTGTCTACAAACACAGTCAGTCTCAATGACGAAGGATTTATTTCTATCTAAAACTAAAATACCATCTCTAATGTACATTTTGTAAGATATAACTAAAACAGACATACATGTATTGCCTAACACAGGTCTGAACTTGAAAATCAGGTTTGGACCTTGACAATGAGTATCTAGGATGATGTATTTGAGATTCAACTCCATGTTAACATGAAAAAATAACTTGCCTGTTCATTTCCACTTCAACAATAAGTGTACATGTCCATTTGAAAATTTCAACTTTTTACCCTTTACAACCAAGAGAGTTCCATTTCCTTTAATGCAGATTCAAAGGAACCGACACCAGAAAATGTAATAGTACAGAGAATCATTATACATCTGAAATACATTCTACCTAAATTTTCTTCACAAAATATCTTTGAAAACGCAACAAAATTTGTTTACTAATATTTGACAAATAGCAAAGATATAATTTTATAAGAAAACAGTTTTCAGGAAAACAATTCGTAAAAAATCATTTTACAGAGATATCAGTCTAACGAAGTCACTGATACAAGATCATCGTCCTCCATTTCCACGACAGTTACACCAGGTAACGAGGGTGCCGCCAAAGGAATTTGACTATTCTGTGACCTATTTGACCTTGCAGAGCTTTGCCTTGATTGGCCAGATCTACTTGAGGCAGAACCACTGGTCAGTCTCATTGCTGGTCCCATAATACCCGAGCGGTCTGACCTTGCTGAACTCAGACCGGATCTCGCTGACCCGAGACCGGATCTTGCTGACCCGAGACCGGATCTGTCAGACTTAGCTGATCCCAGACCTGATCGTTCTGACCTTGGACCTGAAAGATCAGATCGGGCTGAACTGAGACCTGACCTGTCCGACCTTCCCGAACTCACTCTTCCCCTGCTTGATCGGCTTGATGCTGATCCATTTGGCTGTCGAAGTCCTGGTTCGATACGACTGGCAGATTTTCCTGCTGACCCTTGTCGACTTTGGCCTGAATGACCAGACACATTTCCCATGTTTTGTCTTGATCCAGAGAAGCTGTCTTGACGACCAGCTCTGTTTGAATTTCCTAATCCTCCATTAGCCTGTTGTTGTTGGTATATATGAGCTTCTGCCATTTCTAGAGTTACTTCCCTTGCCCTACTCCGTTGAGAACCAGAGTTGCCACTCTGTCGGCTGTTCCGTTTCCCGTTTTCTTCCTGGTTGACCTCGTTCATATAGGTACTTGCAGTAAAAATGGCATAGTTTGTAGACAAAGTTTTAGGTGGGGCTGGTAATGTTACAGCTTCAAGGCTGTTATTGTGTGAATATGAATTTAATGAAACTGCCTCCATGCTATTACGTTCCAATGCAAAATCAATCCCATGAGCAGAGGCTTTACTTATGGCTGATGAGTCACTGTTCCGTCGACCTTTTTTTCCACGGCGATGACTAAATGTCCCAGAATGCTTTGTTGTTATAGGACCCAGAACAGGTTGGATCCTGTTTCTCTTTTTACTCTTCTTTCTCTTCTTCTTCCTTCGTTTTTTCTTTCCTCCTTTGATATCCTCACTTTGATCACTTTGATGGAATTGGCCTTGAGCTTCACTGAGTTGTGAATCCAGAGACTGACGACGAGATGCCATCTTGGATGCCATCGACCCAATATCTAACGAAAATAAACAATAACAATCTTTAAGTTTAATTCTGGCAAATCATGGGATAACATCATTTTAGAAAATATTTCAAACTGATAAAACTTATTTTTCAGCTATCTGTATGAAGTATTTTTTCTACAAATACTGAGATGTATACTAATTGTTATGTATTTCACCACATGTATCTAAAGCATTAAGTACTCCTGTTTTGAGTAATAATGATAAAGAAAAAAACTTTTATAAGACTTGTTCTCAGAACAGATTCAGGGGATCATTTGATCTGTACTTGATTTTGTTTTTTGTTATTGTGTTCTGTGGTTGTGTGGCTCAGTGGGTTACACACTTGTCTGTCACCTTAGCAACCAGGTTTCAAAATCCTGATTGTAGGACATGAAAAGTTATTGGATCACCAGCCCTACTACTTAGTTATTCTTTGATGTCCTCCCTTAAAGTGCCTCAATCAGGGCAAACAAGATAAATATAAATAAACCAACAGGTTACCTTTTATTGTAAAATAAAATTTAGAATTTATGGTTCAAGTCTATGAATGTTTAAAATCAACCACATATCACATGATTTCTTATTATACTAAACTCTCATCCAATTCTATAAATATTCAGTTTGTACCTGAATCTGAGTAACGTCTAAGTGTGCCGGCAGTAGGCATAATCATCCCTCCACGTCTACGCACAAGTTTCGGCATTGCATTTGCAAAATTTGATGACATCTCGTGAGAACTAACACTGTTTAAATCAAACTTCATCCCTGAGAAAAAAAGTCAGAATACAGAAATCAGAAAACTTTTGTGAAAAGACGATTTTGAGATCACCAATATACTCAACTTAAAAGAAAAATCTTGTTTAGAATATACATACTGTTACAGGGACATGTTGTATTGTAATGATAAAAACAGCAGAACAATATATAAATCTTATCAATTTTAAATTTAAAATCCATTGTGAATGTGATTATCTACATAAAGTATTAAACCAAGCAAACAAAAACAGAAATGTTACAAAATTATATCTAATTTTAAAAGAAAGATTTGCTGAGAACATTCACTAGATAATATCTTTTTTTTTTCTTTTTTCCTCAAAATAAGGGATTAGTGATGATTTCTAAAGATCATTTCCTCAATCTGTTACATCTAGATATTTCTGTGACTTTTTTGACCGTGGTAATTTACCTAAAGGGTCATCATGGGTGCTGCCGAAACTGATAGACATTCGTCCATTGTTCATATCCTTACGCCGTTCAAAGGCTTTCGCTATCATCTTGTGTTTCTTCATTTTTACTGGTTTGTTTGAAGGCTTTTTGAACACTCTGTGGAGGAAAGGAAGAATTTCTCTTTAATTGATGTAAATATTACCATGTATGTCTTTCAGTCACATGACCTGATTCAAATGTGTCAACACTATTGGAGTTTTATAAATCATATTCGAAAAAGGACAGAGACAAGACAAAAACAAGAGATCCCAGAGGGATCTTGGCGCCCACCATTTTAGGATCTGTTTTCAGTTCTTGATGATTTGTTTATTTTTTTTTGTCTGTTACAGGTGTTGTAAATGTTCATGAACTGGTCTTCATTGAATGTACTCAATGATGGCACAAGATATTTTTATTAAGCACCTATTAGCAAATATCATTTGAAAAAGATCCCAAAGTATTATTAGATAGCAGTCAGTTACAGGTGGATAATGGACAATATGCTTGTGCTGTATTACTGTCAACATCCAAGATGGCTGCCTGTGGGCCACCTTGATTTCAAATCAGTCCAAAAAAGTACAATGCACAACTTGGAACCAATGCATATGAAATTTGAGAAAGATCCATCCAGTACAAGAAAACGGTAACAAAGTTTTACATCCAAAATCCAAGATGGGAATTCGAATCAGTCCAAAAAAGGTACAATGCACAACTAGGGAAGGGGAACCTGCATATGAAATTTGAGAAAGATCCATCCAGTACTTTCCAAGAAATAGCGGTAACAAACTTTTACATCCAAAATCCAAGATGGCCACCTGTCGGCCATCTTGAATGTGAATCAGTTCAAAAAAGGTACAATGCACAACTAGGGACCAAGGGGAACCTGCATATGAAATTTGAGAAAGATCCATCCAGTACTTTCCAAGAAATAGCGGTAACAAACTTTTACATCCAAAATCCAAGATGGCCACCTGTCGGCCATCTTGAACGCGAATCAGTTCAAAAAAGGTACAATGCACAACTAGGGACCAAGGGGAACCTGCATATGAAATTTGAGAAAGATCCATCTAGTACTTTTCCAGAAATAGCGGTAACAAGAATTGTTTACGGACGGATGGACGGACGACGGACCACGGACGCAGGGCGATTTGAATAAGCCACCATCTATTTGAATAGATGGTGGGCTAAAAATCTAACAGATTTGTGAAGTGCTTATTAGTTAGTTAATACAAATATCATAGACAAGTGAACTCAACCAGCTTAACAAGATCAGTAAATTTTTAAACTTATTCTTGCAGAGCTGTGATTGGCTAAGGCCTCATTTGTTTCTCTTCTGATGTCATAACTTTTAAGCAACATCCCTGCATCTCCAACCTATAGTGTTTACATGTTGCCATTGATTCAATATTCTAGGGCCTGTTCCCATTATCACAATTTTTGTGCAAGAAGTCGTCAACTGACGGACAAACTCATGACACTGCATTTTAAATGATGCAGGCTGATGAAAATTACAGGGAAGTTTAACAGTCATCATAGTGATCTCATTGAGAAATATTCTATTTCTCTGTGCAACATGAAGTTGGACATATTTGATGTTCGTTAGTTTGCCAGTTGGTTCCATTATTGTATACCTTGTTCTCACTTGAGAACATGACATTACTTACTTGGATTGACTAAGGTTTACATGGCAGATGTCACTGATGAAGCAGAAAAGGCTTACCTTTCCAGAACACCTGGTCTTATTCTCCTTGTACTTTTTCAGGAGTCTCAATATAAATCTTTCTTTTGTGCATGTTGTGCCCGTTTTAATTGACTTTGAGTTTGGATTATGTTTTATGAAATATGACACACCAATGAAAGAAATATAGAAAGAGAATATCCCAAGTTTCCATTTTTTCTTGATAAGCATCAAAATAATATAATTGACAGAATCTTTCATGCGATTCCATTTCATATGAAATTGATGAAAATCCTTAAAATTTGTTCCTTTTATCTCATTACAGACAAAATGAAAAACTAGGATTCGTTTCCTAGACCTCATCTAAATGAAAACTCATGAAACATTCTTTTAATTAAATAAAATTCTTTGAAAACTGAATTTTTGTCCTTCATTTTCTCTGCATATGAACACTAATTGCTACTTACGAAATTTCTTAAACAGCCTGAGGAATCTACATTTTCTCCCCAGCACTATCCATGAATATTTCTATAGCAGTTCTAAGAATAACTGACGACATGATTTTTTTTCCAAACATTGCTACATCTTACTTCCGTAAAAAACGTTCCCATGACAACAAGGATGCTTTTGTCCACGACCAGCTGCTCATCAGAATGCCTGCCCCAAAGAAAGCCAAGACGTGAAACTCCACTGCTACAATACTTGGTCTGCTTGCCATGGCACAGGTTCGTGAGTAGGAACTGTCCACTGTCTTAGTCACAGTCATGTTGGCGAGGCAGCTAAAAATAGACAGTTATCAATTTGCTGAGTTATATTAATGAGTTACCTTTATCAACATTAAAATGTGTTCAGATTCTTCAGTTCATGAAGTAATGAATGTTTATTTCAGTCAATATACTGTATTTATCTTGTAATATAAGCCTTTTCTTGAAGATAAGGCCACCATGTCTACCCAGTATTTCTTTCTGACTAACTCTTGATTTATGAGACATTTTCTGATGAACTTCAGACCCTTTAATGATTTTGAAGTAATATTCTAGTGACCTTGTAATGTCAGGTCATATTCTGGTGACCTTTTATCAAACCAGGGGTCATATTGTTAAGATTTTTTCAATGAAAGTGAGGTCACATCCTGGTCACTGTTTAGTAGAAGTGAGGTCATATTCTGGTTAACCTTTCAATGAAAGAGAGGTCAAATTTTTGTGGTTTTTTTTCAATGAAATTGAGGTCACATTCTGATGTCCCTTTCAATGAAAGTGTGGTCACATTTTGATGTCCCTTTCAAGTTTGGAACCTGTCCATTAGTCCAAGCATTGGGGCAGACAGAACAGAACTGGTAAATGCATACTTACAAAGTTTTTATTGTTTCTAAGTTTGGAGGTTTAATTTTCAAATGGAACTGATAACACTCTCTGTTGTTGTATTTTAGCATATTTGACCCTTGTGACCTTGAAAGTGATCATTCATTTTACTAAACTTGGTAGCCCTTCATCCCAGCATGCCACAGGCCCATTATCAGCACCCATAGCCTTTTGGTTATTTGAGGAGAAGTTGTTAAAAGATTTTAACACATTTGATCCCTGTGACCTTGAAAGTGGGTCAAGGTCATTTATTTTAACAAGCTTTGTAGCTCTTCATCTATCATCAGTATCAGCACTCTCTGTCTTTTGGTTATCAACAAGAATAAAAAAATGTCAATTGTCTCAGGTGACCTAAAAAATGAGGTCAAATTCTGATAACACTTTCAATGAAATTGAGGTCACATTCTGGTGACCTTTTAAATAAAAGTGAGGTCACATTCTGGTGACCTTTTAAATAAAAGTGAGGTCACATTCTGGTGACCTTTTAAATAAAAGTGAGGTCACATTCTGGTGACCTTTTAAATAAAAGTGAGGTCACATTCTGGTGACCTTTTAAATAAAAGTGAGGTCACATTCTGGTGACCTTTCCCATGGAAGTAATGTCACATTCTAGTTGTCTTTCAATAAAAGTTAGGTCACCTTCTGCTTGACCTTTCAATGAAAAAAGAGGTTATATCCTGGTGACCTTTCCCATGAAAGTGAGGTCAAGTTCTGGTTATTCTTGAGGTCACATTCTAGTCCAGTGATTTTTCATTTAAACAGATGTCCTGTTCTGGTTGACAGATGAAAGATATTATCTATTTACATTAGCAGCCAAAATGTTCTTACACTTGACCTTCTCAACATAGGCAGAAGAATAACAAAGGTGTTGTTATAGTTTAAATAAAGAAGAAAAAAATTTCTTACAAATAGTAGTCTTTAAAGCTGTCCTCCCATCCCTGTTCACTGGTGAAAGAGTAGATGTGTATAGTGAATGAGATCAGTACGAACACAAAAGCCAGGATAGTAAATGTACCTAAAATGAAAGAAAGAAAGTAAAACACTTAAAAGTGAAAGTAGAAAAAAATGATAAAAAATAAAATAAACACAACAAATAGAATGAACACACACAAACAACTAAACAACATGGCAACCAAACATTACGAACTAGAAGAGAAGTTGGGATTTTTTTTATTGTTATTTTTTCGAGTTGTACTCATGGCTTTCAAAATACCAGCTAAACATCAAGTCTTGCCTGCAGACTCTATAGTAACGAATGTTTATAAATCTGAAGGAAAACTTAAGGTCTTGCCTGCAGACTCTATAGTAACGAATGTTTATAAATCTGAAGGAAAACTTAAGGTCTTGCCTGCAGACTCTATAGTAACGAATGTTTATAAATCTGAAGGAAAACTTAAGGTCTTGCCTGCAGACTCTATAGTAACGAATGTTTATAAATCTGAAGGAAAACTTAAGGTCTTGTCTGCAGACTCTATAGTAACGAATGTTTATAAATCTGAAGGAAAACTTAAGGTCTTGCCTGCAGACTCTATAGTAACGAATGTTTATAAATCTGAAGGAAAACTTAAGGTCTTGCCTGCAGACTCTATAGTAACGAATGTTTATAAATCTGAAGGAAAACTTAAGGTCTTGCCTGCAGACTCTATAGTAACGAATGTTTATAAATCTGAAGGAAAACTTAAGGTCTTGCCTGCAGACTCTATAGTAACGAATGTTTATAAATCTGAAGGAAAACTTAAGGTCTTGCCTGCAGACTCTATAGTAACGAATGTTTATAAATCTGAAGGAAAACTTAAGGTCTTGCCTGCAGACTCTATAGTAACGAATGTTTATAAATCTGAAGGAAAACTTAAGGTCTTGCCTGCAGACTCTATAGTAACGAATGTTTATAAATCTGAAGGAAAACTTAAGGTCTTGCCTGCAGACTCTATAGTAACGAATGTTTATAAATCTGAAGGAAAACTTAAGGTCTTGCCTGCAGACTCTATAGTAACGAATGTTTATAAATCTGAAGGAAAACTTAAGGTCTTGCCTGCAGACTCTATAGTAACGAATGTTTATAAATCTGAAGGAAAACTTAAGGTCTTGCCTGCAGACTCTATAGTAACGAATGTTTATAAATCTGAAGGAAAACTTAAGGTCTTGCCTGCAGACTCTATAGTAACGAATGTTTATAAATCTGAAGGAAAACTTAAGGTCTTGCCTGCAGACTCTATAGTAACGAATGTTTATAAATCTGAAGGAAAACTTAAGGTCTTGCCTGCAGACTCTATAGTAACGAATGTTTATAAATCTGAAGGAAAACTTAAGGTCTTGCCTGCAGACTCTTTAGTAACGAATGTTTATAAATCTGAAGGAAAACTTAAGGTCTTGCCTGCAGACTCTTTAGTAACGAATGTTTATAAATCTGAAGGAAAACTTAAGGTCTTGCCTGCAGACTCTATAGTAACGAATGTTTATAAATCTGAAGGAAAACTTAAGGTCTTGCCTGCAGACTCTATAGTAACGAATGTTTATAAATCTGAAGGAAAACTTAAGGTCTTGCCTGCAGACTCTATAGTAACGAATGTTTATAAATCTAAAGGAAAACTTAAGGTCTTGCCTGCAGACTCTATAGTAACGAATGTTTATAAATCTGAAGGAAAACTTAAGGTCTTGCCTGCAGACTCTATAGTAACGAATGTTTATAAATCTAAAGGAAAACTTAAGGTCTTGCCTGCAGACTCTATAGTAACGAATGTTTATAAATCTGAAGGAAAACTTAAGGTCTTGCCTGCAGACTCTATAGTAACGAATGTTTATAAATCTAAAGGAAAACTTAAGGTCTTGCCTGCAGACTCTATAGTAACGAATGTTTATAAATCTGAAGGAAAACTTAAGGTCTTGCCTGCAGACTCTATAGTAACGAATGTTTATAAATCTAAAGGAAAACTTAAGTTTTGTATGCAGCTTTTTTCCCCTTTTTTAATTCCAGATGAAGAAGGCAAGGCACTCCAATATTGGTCTTACTGTTTTTGTGAAAATTTAATGAAAAGTTAAATGTCCTTAATTCTGGAAAAAAACTTCTCCTGCAAGTTATCAGCATAAAACTTCTAACAGTTCAATGTTTATTCATTGAAGAGAAAATGAACTAAAACAAAAACATGACAGCATTTCACACACAACATGCCATGAAGACAACAAGGAAACACATTCTAAGACAAATGTAATTCAATATGGATCTACATACAAAGCGTAACAAGCTCTGAAGCAAGTACCAATGGTAACTTGATATATACAATTTAATAAAGAAGACGATATATTTTTGTATAACTTACTCATTCTGATAATTGTCTCCCTTATTTTGGATGTTGCCTTGTCACTGATAAAGTCAGGTGTGTCCTTTCGTAGTTTTACAAGTGTCCGTAATCCTATAAATAAACACATATGTATATAAAATAAATCTAATTGATATCAAAATAATTATGATCATGGTAATTCAATTTTATCACTCCTGTAAAGATTGGACAAAAGCTTCCTGGGTCAGTCTGAATGTAGATGGTTGGTTAATTTGCTTGCTGGGTTCATTGCCCATGAGTAACCAGGATCATATTGAGGTGGGATGTAGTAGCTGGTGGCTTTCTCAATGAAAAACATACAGGATGTCCATCACATATAGTCCAGATCAACTATGGTACAGTATCTTGCCAAACAATGCAACGTCAACACAAAGCAGCCATTTTCTCAACTTCCTGAGAAATCCAAACCCCTCTTTCTGAGAGCACTGCTGTAAAACTTTTTTATATGTAATTTCCTAGTTAAAACCCTTCCAAGAACCTTTTCCGAAAGTTCAAAATATCATGTATTGTTGTGTTATATCTTAATAAATTTTTCAGAATTTAGAATTTTCTTTTTGTCAGTTTGGGAAATTATGGGAGACTGGTTTGGTATGTTAGGCAGTTCTAATTTTAACTGTCATAACAGCGAAAAGATACAACAACTAAACACTTTCTGGTGATTATATCTTAATTCACTAATTCCTATTAAAGTACCAAAATCTATGATTTAAAATAATACTCATGAATTTTTTTCGGCCACTGTAAGAGAAATCTTCAATCGACTTACCCCGTATGAGATTCACAATACCGGAGCAAAGACAGACTCCCATGGGTACCACAACAAACCCTAGTCTATAAGCATACTGACGGTATCCCACAAAACATATGCCACTGACAGAGTCTCCATCAATCTGTAAAAAAACAGTGAAATATAATGTTATTATAACAGTGTATAAACAAGACAAGGTTTTTGTCATTCATCATCTTTTAAGGCAACAAGAAAGAACACAGCAAAGCAAAACAACAGAAGGTGGTGGGGATGAAGGTGAATTGGAAGAATTAAGGGAGGGGGTGGGGTGAAGGGGGATGGAGGTGGAGGGGGGCCTGGGGTTTGGGGTGAGGTTGGACACATAAGTCCAAGTCTTATAGCAGAGAGTTGGGCTTATCAGAAAACAATAATGTAGCATATTTTGTAATTTTACTGAAATAGATGGACTTTCCAAAAGGCATGGGCTTATTATACCTTACTAAACAGTAGCCAATCAAAGGATGTCATCCTGATATCGCAACCAATTTCATTTTTAAAATTCACTAACACTTTAATTTGTGAAATGTGATCCAAATCTACGTAAATTTCCTTCTTAGATTAAAAAATAAATCTCCTCTCAGCAAAATCAGTTTGTTTGCGATCATCAGACAAATTGTTTGTTATCATTAGACAAATTGTCTGTAATCATTAGACAAATTGTTTGTAGACAAATTGTTTGTTATCATCAGACAAATTGTTTGTTATCATCAGACAAATTGTTTGTAGACAAATTGTTTGTGATCATCAGACAAATTGTTTGTAGACAAATTGTTTGTGATCATCAGACAAATTGTTTGTAGACAAATTGTTTGTGATCATCAAATTGTTTGTGATCATTAGACAAATTATTTGTTATCATCAGACAAATTGTTTGTGATCATCAGACAAATTGTTTGTTATCATCAGACAAATTGTTTGTGATCATCAGACAAATTGTGATCATCAGACAAATTGTTTGTTATCATCAGACAAATTGTTTGTGATCATCAGACAAATTGTTTGTTATCATCAGACAAATTGTTTGTGATCATTAGACAAATTGTTTGTAGACAAATTGTTTGTTATCATCAGACAAATTGTTTGTGATCATTAGACAAATTGTTTGTAGACAAATTGTTTGTGATCATTAGACAAATTGTTTGTGATCATTAGACAAATTGTTTGTAGACAAATTGTTTGTTATCATCAAATTGTTTGTTATCATCAGACAAATTGTTTGTGATCATCAGACAAATTGTTTGTGATCATTAGACAAATTGTTTGTAGACAAATTGTTTGTTATCATCAGACAAATTGTTTGTTATCATCAGACAAATTGTTTGTAGACAAATTGTTTGTGATCATCAGACAAATTGTTTGTAGACAAATTGTTTGTGATCATCAGACAAATTGTTTGTTATCATCAGACAAATTGTTTGTAAACAAATTGTTTGTGATCATCAGACAAATTGTTTGTTATCATCAGACAAATTGTTTGTAGACAAATTGTTTGTGATCATCAGACAAATTGTTTGTGATCATCAGACAAATTGTTTGTTATCATCAGACAAATTGTTTGTAGACAAATTGTTTGTGATCATCAGACAAATTGTTTGTGATCATTAGACAAATTGTTTGTTATCATCAGACAAATTGTTTGTGATCATTAGATAAATTGTTTGTAGACAAATTGTTTGTGATCATCAGACAAATTGTTTGTAGACAAATTGTTTGTGATCATCAGACAAATTGTTTGTGATCATTAGACAAATTGTTTGTGATCATCAGACAAATTGTTTGTAGACAAATTGTTTGTGATCATCAGACAAATTGTTTGTTATCATCAGACAAATTGTTTGTTATCATCAGACAAATTGTTTGTGATCATCAGACAAATTGTTTGTAGACAAATTGTTTGTGATCATCAGACAAATTGTTTGTTATCATCAGACAAATTGTTTGTGATCATCAGACAAATTGTTTGTAGACAAATTGTTTGTGATCATCAGACAAATTGTTTGTTATCATCAGACAAATTGTTTGTAGACAAATTGTTTGTGATCATCAGACAAATTGTTTGTAGACAAATTGTTTGTGATCATCAGACAAATTGTTTGTGATCATCAGACAAATTGTTTGTAGACAAATTGTTTGTGATCATCAGACAAATTGTTTGTAGACAAATTGTTTGTGATCATCAGACAAATTGTTTGTAGACAAATTGTTTGTGATCATCAGACAAATTGTTTGTGATCATTAGACAAATTGTTTGTGATCATCAGACAAATTGTTTGTGATCATCAGACAAATTGTTTGTAGACAAATTGTAATCATCAGACAAATTGTTTGTGATCATTAGACAAATTGTTTGTGATCATCAGACAAATTGTTTGTAGACAAATTGTTTGTGATCATTAGACAAATTGTTTGTGATCATCAGACAAATTGTTTGTGATCATCAGACAAATTGTTTGTGATCATCAGACAAATTGTTTGTTATCATCAGACAAATTGTTTGTAGACAAATTGTTTGTGATCATTAGACAAATTGTTTGTGATCATCAGACAAATTGTTTGTGATCATCAGACAAATTGTTTGTGATCATTAGACAAATTGTTTGTGATCATCAGACAAATTGTTTGTAGACAAATTGTTTGTGATCATCAGACAAATTGTTTGTTATCATCAGACAAATTGTTTGTAGACAAATTGTTTGTTATCATCAGACAAATTGTTTGTAGACAAATTGTTTGTTATCATCAGACAAATTGTTTGTGATCATCAGACAAATTGTTTGTGATCATTAGACAAATTGTTTGTTATCATCAGACAAATTGTTTGTGATCATCAGACAAATTGTTTGTAGACAAATTGTTTGTGATCATCAGACAAATTGTTTGTTATCATCAGACAAATTGTTTGTGATCATGATCATCAGACAAATTGTTTGTAGACAAATTGTTTGTTATCATCAGACAAATTGTTTGTCATCAAATGTAGACAAATTGTTTGTGATCATCAGACAAATTGTTTGTAGACAAATTGTTTGTGATCATCAGACAAATTGTTTGTTATCATCAGACAAATTGTTTGTGATCATCAGACAAATTGTTTGTAGACAAATTGTTTGTGATCATCAGACAAATTGTTTGTTATCATCAGACAAATTGTTTGTGATCATTAGACAAATTGTTTGTGATCATCAGACAAATTGTTTGTGATCATCAGACAAATTGTTTGTTATCATCAGACAAATTGTTTGTAGACAAATTGTTTGTGATCATCAGACAAATTGTTTGTTATCATCAGACAAATTGTTTGTGATCATCAAATTGTTTGTGATCATCGGACAAATGGTTTGTAGACAAATTGTTTGTGATCATCAGACAAATTGTTTGTAGACAAATTGTTTGTGATCATTAGACAAATTGTTTGTGATCATCAGATAAATTGTTTGTTATCATCAGACAAATTGTTTGTAGACAAATTGTTTGTGATCATCAGACAAATTGTTTGTTATCATCAGACAAATTGTTTGTTATCATCAGACAAATTGTTTGTAGACAAATTGTTTGTGATCATCAGACAAATTGTTTGTGATCATCAGACAAATTGTTTGTGATCATTAGACAAATTGTTTGTTATCATAAAACAAATTGTTCGTGATCATTCGACAAATTGTTTGTAATCAACTTATATTTATCACTCTTATATGCCCTAATGGAAGAGCGCAGAATCTCTATGGGGGAAGGAAACAAGAGTAATCGCCCCACTCCCATATCTTACCTCAGACACAGCGAGACATATAATGGTCAACATATCAACTGACCACATGTTCTTACCTCAGACACAGCAAGAAACATGATGGTCAACATATCAACTGACCACATCTTACCTCAGACACAGCAACAGACATGATGGTCAACATATCAACTGACCATATCTTACCTCAGACACAGCGAGACATATAATGGTCAGCACAAGAGGGACACACCAGCTGGCTATGTGGAAGTAGGCAGTCTTGCTTGTAAGATCATCGCGAGGTGTTCCAAGGGCCTTAAATGTGAGATGCCAGGCATAGGCCAACATGACAAACCAGACAGAGGCTGCCATCATAAAGTAATAGACAAGGATAAAGATGAAGGTGCAGGAGGCTGTCTCACCAGACCTGAAATCAACCAATCAAATTTAACACCTAATGAAAGGAAATAAAAACTAATTTTATAAGGAATGAAAAAGGGAAAATTAATAGTAACTTGTTTATACAGTTACATCTAAAAACTAGTTTCTATTTAATATTTAATGACTATTTCATGTCTTGTAACAGAAGGGCCAATTTACATCAAGACTACATCATCCTCCTAACATACCCTAGTTTGGGTTCCCCATGCCGTGTTGTTCCGTCTGCCTTACATACGATGTCTGTCCTTGCATCACCAGAGAACTGAGCCAACCAACCAATGGTACAGAAGAAGAAACAGCCATTGATAAAGAACAAGATGAGAGCTGGATACCTGCTGGAAGTCTTCCAGTCAATCAGAAATGTCAGCTGTAACATAGATATGGTTACAAGGTCAGCTGATGAGATACAGATATAGTTACAAGGTCAGCTGGAACATAGATATGGTTATAAGGTCAGCTGATGAGATAAAAATATAGTTACAAGGTCAGCTGGAACATAGATATGGTTATAAGGTCAGCTGATGAGATAAAAATATAGTTACAAGGTCAGCTGGAACATAGATATGGTTACAAGGTCAGCTGATGAGATATAAATATAGTTACAAGGTCAGCTGATGAGATATAAATATAGTTACAAGGTCAGGTGATGAGATATAGATATAGTTACAAGGTCAGCTGGAACATTAATGTGTTAACAAGGTCAGCTGGTACATAAATATAATTCATAAGGTCAGAATAGAATTTTTGGTACTACTGGTATCTTGAGATCACTTCACTGTTGTTCTTGGCAGAGGTTGACAATGATATAGGGTTACAGCCCCTGTAACTTCTAGAAGGTGATTGTGATCCTAAAATCAAATTAAAGGTGTGATGGTCTGTATATGTACCAAGTGCATACATCTATAATACTGTTGACAAAAAGTTTATAAATGAAGTTAATTGATAGATATAGCTCTTCATATACTATTTTGTTACAAAACTAATCTTCTTGTTTGTTAATTTTCATACAACAAAGACAGCCATAAAAAAACCTTGTTTTAAACACCAATACAAGAAATGCAAGGTCATAAATTAAAACTCCTCATAAAAAATATGCCAATGATTAATAGGATCTGTCCTGTCACCATTCAATCAGCAATCATAACAAATAAGGTATTTATACCAGTGAGGAACTGACGAGTCGACCGAAGCTATTGTTAAAGTTATCTGACAAGCAGGTCTTTTGTTTGAATGTTATTAGGATATGACTCATGACACACCTGTGATTATCTCCCTTGACCCGTCACACCTGTGATCCGACCCATCTCATTGAGCTGTCAATCACTAGTGCAGAACTGATAATAAACTGTATGTGGGTGTGTGTAACTACTGTAGGTATGAAGACAGTACTATGTGAGAGATTTAAACATATAAACATTTTATATTGTAAATCAAAGAAATATTGTAAACTTTCTTTTCATTTTTTACTTTTCTCTCCAATGGTTTAAAATTAAATCAACCGCTTGCAAAAAAAGGAAACATTTTGCCCGTGTAACAGAGGCGATGATACATCTTAAAGCCTCCAGTATGATTTGAACCTGTGACCTCTAGCTTACCAGTCTTATTTCAACCATTAAAGCCTCCAGTATGATTTGAACCTGTGACCTCTAGCTTACCAGTCTTTTTTCAACCATTAAAGCCTCCAGTATGATTTGAACCTGTGACCTCTAGCTTACCAGCCTTATTTCAACCATTAAAGCCTCCAGTATGACTTGAACCTGTGACCTCTAGCTTACCAAATCTGATTTCAACCATTAAAGCCTCCAGTATGATTTGAACCTGTGACCTCTAGCTTACCAGTCTTTTTTCAACCATTAAAGCCTCCAGTATGATTTGAACCTGTGACCTCTAGCTTACCAATCTTATTTCAACCATTAAAGCCTCCAGTATGATTTGAACCTGTGACCTCTAGCTTACCAGTCTTATTTCAACCATTAAAGCCTCCAGTATGATTTGAACCTGTGACCTCTAGCTTACCAATCTGATTTCAACCATTAAAGCCTCCAGTATGATTTGAACCTGTGACCTCTAGCTTACCAATCTTATTTCAACCAATCCAACTAAACTTAAGAGAGGATCGATCCCTCTAGCCGAGCTGTAGGTTTGGGCTGGTATTTACCAGGGTTATATGCATGAACCTAAAATCTCTATTTTATTTTCAAGATATCTTTTTATGGAACAGTACTCTATACTTAAAACTTTGTAGAATAAGAACTGATCTACGAAGGTAACATCACCTACAGCACTACATTGTACACCATATCTAAAGCAGTATAAAGCCAGAGGCTAGATGCAAGATAATTGGATGGCTGAATGTATAAAAGTAATAATTTGTCATACAGGGTTATTGACCAAGAAAATTGAAAATTGTATCATTATAGACTTAGATATTTGTTACTTAGATAATCTTGACTATAATAAGAATTTCAGTGTTGTTGTACTTACCACTGTAAAAAGAGTACAGACAAGACAGATGGATCCGAACACTCCGATGAAGATATGAACCTGGTTGTGTTCCTCGTCTGTATAAAACGGATCCTGACACTGAATACCACATCCAGGCACCGTCTCATACCAACTGTCTTCATTAGTCGTTCTCACCAGGGGCAAGTTACACACTCCCGTCGTGTTAAATGTCAAGGATTCATACGTATGTGATGTCTGAAATTAAAAACTGAAATTGAGCATATGTTGTACCAGGCAACTTGTTTCAAATGATATCTATTATACAGTATATGTACTCATTTATAAATACCATTTGTCCCAGACTGTCAATTTCACACTGCCAATAAACTTTTGGTTATTATTGTTAAACGTCCCACCAACAGATATGGACATTTACGAATGGTCTCTCCATGCATGCGAGGTAAGTGTTTTCATGAGACTACATAACGTATACTATTAAAGCTTGCAACTTGGTCACATTCTACCGTCAACGGGTGGACAAATTGTCGCACCACCTTAATCCTATCTGTTTGGCAGGAATTAGTAACTACCATTTTACAGACTGGTAGGTCTCGCTCAGGGGACAGAACCAAAGTTTCGTCAAACTTCAATGAATATAAACACAAGCTTAAAAATGAACAACTATTTATGAAGTCAACTCCATCACTGTTGATACCCTTAAAAACTGACACCTTAGTCTTACTTTCGTGACAATTGAGACAAAAACTGTGGTCTGTTTCATAACTTTTGCACACATTTGATCAGGTTGTTTTCAGGATATCTTAAAGGATCCTCTGTTTTGTTTCAAACTTTTAGTAAACCTAAAAATTTTCAACCATTAAAAATAATCACCCACACAGTGCGGTAATGCTAATTCCAAGGGCTTAATACAGGATAAATATAACACATATAGTTACCATCTAATTTAGTGTCCTTGGCTTGGTTATAACCAGAACAAGGACGTTAAGTTCCAAAAAAGAAAGAAAACCATCTAATACAGGGGCATTGTTTCAGCCCTCCTTTAATATTTACACCAGCATGATTTTTACTTACACCTATCAGAACAATGCCCCTCCTTTAATGCTTACACCAGCATGATTTTTACTTACACCTATCAGTATTTGATATCAAAAAGTTAGGTTAGATTGACAGAGTGATAAGGATTAAATTCAACATGTTCCTGAAGATTGAGGGAAACCTTCGACTGAAATTCAAGAGAGATCCATCTAGCACTTCTTGTATATCCGACCATCTGATGATGGTAGGCGGAAATATTCTAGGCTCCAAATCTTCAAACGAATGTTATAAAAACACTCCCTTGATAATTATAATCTAACATACTGTTTCATCCTACACAAACCTATCTATATTGATTGTTCATTAGATTGAGTTTTACTCATGTGTGAAAAATGTTTTATATCATTGTATGTGTCAAACGACCAATATACAAAATGTATACATTCCAAACACCTACGGACAAAAAAGACATAGACTTACAGAAAATATTTTTATCTCAAGTTGTCAAAAGCTTTATCAGTAATGCATTTATGAGTAATGCCATCAGAATTCTAGTGCATCTGATGTCTAAGGGTTGTTATAATACATCTTCTTGATCCAATATGGCTGTAGTGTTTCATAAGTACTACGTCAGAATTTTAGTTGACAAACTATCACATAGACAGTCAGGGTTTCCATAATTTTGTTAGTAGTAGGCTGTTTAGTGAAAGTAGGAGGCTGGCCTGCCGTGTACGTGTAGTCGTGTACGGAACATTATTACGGAACTGGATTGGTGTAGGCGGCCAAATGATCAAAGTAGCTAGTCAAATTGGCCGGCGACCGGCTCTTATGGAAAACCCTGATAAGGTCACTGTAGTATATGTAACATCAGTTTTTTTCACTGAGCACTGTCAAAGCTTTGGTAAAACGTATCAATACATTTTCTATACTAAGAGAATTTTTTTATACTACTTTTTTAATTGTTAAAATAAGGACATCTTGAAAACAGTTTCTGGGAAAAAACGTATTTCACTAATGTTGTTCTCATTTTAGAATTCAAGATTTACTTAAAGTTGAAATTGATAATTCAAATTTACTTGATAACCTGTCTGTAAATTATGATATATTGAATTTCCTAGTTTTATCGAGGCCGTTTGTAAGAAGTGTATTACACTGGTAAGTATATAACCCATGGTCGGGTACAATACACCAATGTTATTTTTTGTCTGTGTTTAACGGTGGTCCATAAGTAATCATGTGTGACTTTGTACATACAGATGACTCATATCACCTCTCTTACAATATACTGAACAATTAAAGTCAGGAATTTAATACTATAATGTTAAACAAGAGATCCCCGAGGGATCTTGGCACCCATCATTGTTTGATCTTTATTTTTTCTCTGAAAGTTGGATCTTTTCCTTTTTTTCTCTTCTCTGTTTTTTCTCTTAATGATAAGACATTTGAGCATTCCTTTGCAGACATAATGATGATAATCTTTACCTGCCAAATCCAAAATGGCCATCTGGAAGCCATTTTGTTTCTTCTGATCAGTCCCAAAATCAAACAAGCACAATTTGAGAGTTCTCCATCCAGTAGTTCTCAAGAAATAGCAATAACAATTTTTTGAAGTCAAAAACAGATGATCACCTTTATGCCATTTTGTTTTTCTGATCAGACCCAAAATCGAATGGGCACAACTAGGGACTAAATGGAACCTACATATTAAATTTGAGAAATATCTGTACTGTAGTTTTCAAGAAATAGTGACAACAAAATTTCAAAGTCAAAATCCAAGATGGCTACCTGATGGCCATTTTTTTCTGATCAGTCCCAAAATAACATTGGCACAACTATGAACAAAAGGGGAACCTACATATGAAATTTGAGAGAGATCCTTCTCTCACTTCTCAAAAAATAGCGATAAACAATCTTCATTGAAAAAATCCAAGATGGCTGCCTGTTGGCCATTCTGTTCTTCCAATCAATCCCAAAATCAAACAGGCACAACTAGGGACCGAGGGGAACCTTCATACACAATTTGAGAAAGATCCATCCAGTACTTCTCAAGAAATAGCAATGACAAAAATTGTGTATGGATGGACGACAGACTATGGATGCAGAGCGACTTGAATAGCCCACCATCTGATGATGGTTGGCTAAAAATCAAACATCATCTGTGTTAAACTGATTATTCATCAGATAAGGCAGGCTCTCAGAAAACTAAATTTATCACACAGTTTTCCTAATCTTTAAACATGTTCAATTCCAGGACTTCATTTCATGATTTCAACAGCCTGTTAGATTCTGTAACAAAGATGTACTATTTAAAATGGGAATTGTGTACAGACCTTGAACATTGAATTAATAATAAATATACAAGTATGTACAGATATGTTTATTGGTTATTCGGTCTTCAACGATATTAATAATTACATATGATACATTTGACCTCCTTACCTCACATAATGTAAACATGTATACATTGGAAAGCCTTGAAGCCATACCACAAATGGTCTTTGTTTTGAACTAAAACTTATTAATACAGTTGATCAATATTCCCAAGTTTTCTAGCTTAGGGGAGAGTTCTTTAGTCTTAATGAAATTTCGTTTTATTTTGATATTGGTCTCCATTGCCATGTGTAATAAATGAATATGTTGTGTTTCAGGACTTTGAATTATATATCAAATGTATTTCTTCTGAGTGACTGACTAAATTTGCCGAGCATATGAAAAGTAAATGTGAAGAAAGAATTTTTGAGAACTAATCAAAATACACAGTAATTTTAAATATTCAGCATTTTTTTAGCTTCAAATTTTCAGTGAGCAGACCTGATTTCACACTGTGCCACTTTCATTTAGATTAAATAAACATCTTGAATGAACAGTTTGTGTAAAAGACATCTTTTGTTGTGCCAACACAAAAAGAAAAGGACTTTAATGGACTTGGAGTGAGCCAGAAGTCTGATATAAATTAAATGCTTTTGAATTTAACTTTTTATTGAATTGTCAGATTGACTCAAATGATTTTGCAATCAATTCCAAATTGACTTAACTTTTATACAGCCAGACCTTATTCCTGATATGAGTAAAAGAACTTTATTTGAGAATTACCATTTGTGATATCAACGAAATCATACACCTAAACACATATACTTGTAACAAAATCAGCTCAATTTAACACACAAGCTACACATTACTTCATGTTTCTTACTTTTTTTTAAATAAGAATTATAAAGATTGATCTGTTAAATGTGTGTGAAAAAATCTCCATGAAAAACTAAAACACAAATAAGCACCACATTTACTCCAATAAAAGCTCCCCTGATATATCACCACCTCTCACTCCTGTTCAAATCATGAAAAGTTTCGTTAATTAAGGTACTTTGAAAATTACGGCTGACCTTAAGACTTATAAACAGGCTGTGTAGTTCCACATGGTCTGGTGAACTCTGACCTACAGTTTATTAAATATGTGGTGATAATTACCAAAAGTTATTAATTTATATGAAAACTCCACTACCTTTTTGACAGACACTCAACTGCTATAACTTTGTAGTTTGTTATTGCCCTAATTGCTTCTAATCATTAATTAGGGTAAAAGAGGTTAGGGACTGGGTAAAAAGATTATTTGAGAACATGGGCCAGCATTGAAGACAAAAATCAAGAGAAACTTTGCTTTCTGATCATCACCATTACTGTAGTACCAGTGAACTGCATATTGTTCATTTCTTTACATATACCTATGAACCTATACAAGAACTGTACACTTCGTCGAAAACCTTTAACTTAAATGCCTTTCTAAACCCTTTTTCTTTCAAACACAGTGTATAGGTACATATATACATATTTTTTTCTTGAATAAGACATGTCAAATAAAGCCAAGAAAAAGGTTTGTCCGATGAATGTTAAATGGCTTTTTAATGACCAGCGCACTGTAATTCCCTCCAAATCACAAAAGTTATTGAACATCTGACTGATCATATTACTGAATTCTTCGTATAAATGTTGGGAATAGTGGCCCGGTCCTGTCAATGGATTGGAGAGTATATACAGCTAGGCAATATATCTACACAAACTACTACTGGAAATTATATATATATATGATACCTTTTCAAGGACTTTTTTTCACATGTAATTTGATCTTAAATCACAGGGATTTCTGTAAAGAATTTTTAAAAAGTTTTGAAATACAAAGATTAATTAGATTAATATTTGAA